GAATCGAAAACACGCCGCATAGCTGTACGACGGAGTTGACACGAGGAAACATTGAGGTCTTCTAGGTCTAACTAGGTCTTCTCACCTGGGGAATTCCCTATGCAATTTTGCGAGGACGAGGACAGTCGGCGTGTTTTCACTGGTATTTCCATCGAGCCACGTCGCTCCAAGTCTCATTTCTTCCCTTTCGATCCCAACTGGCTTCACATGGAAAACTAGGGGCAACATGGCGTCGTATGCCATGTTGCCCCCCAGGAGGGGCGGAAGGATAGTATCGATAAATATCGCCTATCGCGATAATCGGAACAGCCCCATGTAACAGATTTCTTTTGTTTCAGACACGAGAAGCAAATGGCTCAGTTTATGAAAGAAAAAGAACGGGCTACGAACGGCTTCGTGACTCTACAGAGTGAAGAAAGCAGCGGGATAATCATTCTAAACGGGGAGATTTTTTCAACAGTCATGTCCATTCGGTTGTTGCAAACTGTTTGGACCACTTGTTAATAATAATCATGATGATAATATTTATATTTTCAAGCCGGACTGCTGTCTGGCTTTCCGCATCCGCAAATCCGATCCGTGCAAATTAACGAAAATCCGCGCAGAAAAATCGGCAACTCGTCCGAAAAAGATATTGAGAACTTTTTAAATGGATTAAATAATTGAAAAAAATTTTTTTTTTAAGGAGATTTGAAAACCAGACAGAACTATCTCTCATTCATCTGAAATATCAGATGCAGAAAAGTTGGGGACTCGCATGAATTCAAATCGAAAGCAATTAAGACGACTCCTTTTCCAAAAGAATCGATGTCTGCTTTAATTATGCTGGAAGCATTTTTTCCTCTCCCTTTTTTCCTCCCCGTTTCTCCCCTTTTCTCCCCTTTTTTCCCTCATCTTCATTTTTTTCCGGAATTGCCTCGCACAAGCCCTCCGTGGGCCGCGTGCGACCCGCGGGTCGCACTTTGGGCGTCCCAGATCCAAAGGATTCAACCTCGAACATCGTCCGTCCCGCCGATGGTTTCCCGACGAATCCCAATTCTGGCATAATTGGTTCTGGCCTAATTAACCGATTGTCCGTGATGAAACGCGGAAGCGACCTAAAGCGAAAAAAAAATTCCTGTTCGATGAAAAATTGTAATGCCACAACAGGGGGTCAAACTCGCGAAGGAACAAAAAAAAAATAGATTTAATAAAGAGCTAATTGGCTATTCTTTCGCAACGAGGAAGTCCCTCTTCTAATTAAAAAAAAAAGACCCTTGAATTAAGGAGAACCAGGCGGAGACGAAAGCAATAACCGAAACCCCCATTTCCCCCCACTAATTTTCTCTTCTCCAATTATATTTCTCATTCGGAGTAGGACAACGGGAACGCATAATTGGCGATCGCGAAAGGTCCTCGACTTCTCTCGATCCGGGGGACAATCGAAATGGACAATCGGAATGGACAATCAGAATGGACAACCGAAATGGACAATCGGAATGGACCGTTGGCATTGCGATTCCGCGTTCTCGAAACGGCACAATCTCGCCTTCCGTCTTGCCAAGTTATCTGGCGAGTATAAATGGCAAATAATGCGGATAATAGTCTTGCAGCTGCTTGGAGCGGGTTTAGGAAAAAAGCAACCCGGGAAATAAGATTTGGCAAAAGCAGGAAAGTGCCATCCAGTTATGTTCAGGTCGGATGAAAGAGTCATTCATTTTTGCGACATTTAGTTAGTTATATTGATGTCATGTAATTTGATCAACTTCGCTGAAATGTTAAGAAACTTAAAACAAAGTCCAACTTCAGCCCATCCCTTAAAAATGAATATTATGGCCAACTGGAAATCTTTTGATTTCGGCCGTGTCGCAGGATGAGATGATTGGTTCTTCTTGGAATTTTTCCTCAAATAACAATTGCCTTGTCAGACGAGATCGGCATCTCCTTTCTCCTTCATCTCCTCATTCTCCCGCAAAAATGTTTTTACGAGCGAGTATACGAGAGAGAGGTGAGTTGCAAGCAGACTTTAGGGTCACTGTGGTAATAAAATGTATTTATTCCTAATTTCCCGATTGTCTTGAGAGGAGATTCTCACGCTCCGGAATGTCATCTCCTCGCTTTTGAGGGCGTGGTCTCGCCATTCTTTTTCTCCGGATTCGAGCTGAGGGGAAAGGGACTTCGGAGCGATGTCACCGATAGGTATGTTCCGAGTTTTTATTATTATCAGGGTCATTATTATTATCATATTTCCTCCTTTCAGGTGGCTGATGCAAGACCACATTTCTGCGAAACTACGATTCTCCTCAATTTACTTCAGCCTTTGATCACATCCGTGCTCAGACATATTGGCAGAGCACACTCCTCGAATCCATCGGGAAAATTTTCCGTTCGAGCGGCGAACCCCAAGCTCCAAACGAGGTTCGGAAAAAAGCCACCCGGAAAAAAGCCACCCGGAGATGGAAATGCAAAAAAGCCACCTAGGTCATTGCTTAATAATTTCCCGTTTATATATATTTATACGTATCAGATGATTAAAGACATTCACTTGGCGACCTTAAGAAACATTCATGCAGTTATGTGACTGTTATCTATGTTTTTAGTATTCAATGAATCGCCACAAATTTTTCAATTAATATATTATTGATTTTTCGTTTCCATTCATTGAGAATGGAAAGGGCAAAAACATCTCTCGATTGAAACACTTCTTTAAATCGATTCTATAGAAATATTCTCCTACATAATGCAGGGAATGACTGTCCCGCTATGAACATGGACTTCAACAGACTGACTTCAACAGACTTGGGGACTGAGGATGGAAATGGGGGTGGGGGCAATGGGCGGTTCAGGGTGGTGGATTGAGGGGGGGAGCTAATCCTGATCCTCTCCACCCCCCCCCCCCCCCCCCCCCCCCCCCCCCCCCACGTTAATTTGCACGGATCGGATTTGCGGATGCGGAAAGCCAGACAGCAGTCCGGCTTGAAAATATAAATATTATCATCATGATTATTATTAACAAGTGGTCCAAACAGTTTGCAACAACCGAAAGGATGTTTTGGGAGGATCGCAGGCGAGTCACCCTTGGGCAGCTGGTCCCGCGGGATGTCAGCATGTATTGCCATCTACAGGCTCATTGTAGAGACAGTCCGCGCATGCGCATTCGGCAGTCGAAAGCCGTCCAATGGACTCCTTGCAATACCCCCTAACAGCAGAAACTCCCACCCGGACAGCTCCGATCTCCCTCCAGATGTATTCGATGTCTACGTCCACTCTGTGATGGCAACTGACGTGCTCTGGTGCGCTTCTTGCTTTCACAGTGATTTCCCCCAATCTTCTAGCTGCAATCAATTCGGCCTCTTGACTTTCGCTTGACGGATTCCGTACCACGGAAATGTTAAAAGCAGAGAATTGGGTTCCTCAAGAAAATTTTAGCTTTCATTGAAACTTTCCTGGGACCTTTCCGGTGCGTTATTTTCACTTTGTAAGTTACTTCATCGATCAAGGATGGGATTTTTTTGAAAGCTCTAAGTTTCAGTTTTGCACAGTCTCGTAACTGTCCCGGTTAAAACCTTTATTATGAAAGGTGAAAATCAAACTGCTTTATGCGGGATCCAAGCCAAATATGTTTACCTAAGTTGCTGCAATGTGCGCATGCGATCAGCAGTCAGGTAATTCCACGTCCCCAGATTTCCCAAATCCATATTTTCTTCGTTCTCACCTGCTACTATCGAAGGAAACGGCAAGCACTTCTAAGCTCTGTTAGCCTTCTATCACCCAGAGTACCGGCTATTCACGCCACGGTCTAGCGCGTGGACACTGTTTGCCCGAAGGACAAGAGACGCTTTGGGAGGCCAGTAGGAATTCCCCAGGAATGAAGACGAAACTGGGGGAGAGCGGACTACCCTGCCTATCCATTAGATGGAAGCAGAAATTGAGCAAATTGGCACGGTAGCCCTCTTGACCCCGGTCTCCCCTATTACTCATCTTGGGTCTTTTTCGTCGCCTTCGGTGAACCTTTCTGCGCAGGACGTTTCACATAGAATCGGAATGAAAAAGAAACTCTCCGCCTGATTATGGAGAGGCCCGTCCGTACGAGAACCGATCCGTTCAAAAACTTCAACCTGCAGATTCTAATGTCGCTATTGCTTCCTGGAATATCGCGATGAATCGGCAGCAGCTGGCTCCAAGATGGAAGCACAGCGCTATATTTTCGTATGAAGCTATTTCCTTCCTGAATGGCCCTTTGTTTTCCGATGAACTCCCTGGATTCTACCGACTCGGTGGGCCCGACATGTTGGCCTTCGTCTTCCCCTTTTTCTGCCCCGGCCACTCTTTCTTCCGATGATTCCGAAAGGCGAAGGCAGGAAAAAAAAAAAAATGACGCAGAGAATGGCCGAGCCCCAAAGGCAGCCATCGGAGCTGTCGTGGTTCGAATGACCCTGGGTATGCCTCGTGAGTCCGTGGACAAATGCCAATTGCGCGTCATGATGTGCATTACAGAATATGGCCATCATTCAGGATCTTCTTTAATAATTCCTTTGCTTTCAAGCGTCCTGCCGTTTCAATGCTAATTTTTTCTCACTGAAGGTCATGCAAATGTCACGATGGGGTTCTTCTAAGAAGCCATGCTAATGAAACGGAAGTCGCAATTGCATGGAGCAAAAATGTAAAAATGGTCATACGCTATCAGGCTTCTCCAATGACGCATCTTGCAGGATAAATCATGAATTCAGTTCGTCAGTAAAGTGATTCGTCATCCTGTTGCAGGAAATACTGTACAGTGTAATTCTAAGAACAAAGAAAATCGGGAATTTCTCTTTGGAGACTGCGAGAAGCTTGAAATACAGCATAATGAATCTTTCAGAGGGGATTCCCCTTTGCAATTGCTAATATATTCCCGTGGTTATAGGACGGGGACACCCCTGGGGACATCCCTGGGGACATCCCCGATCGGATCAACGGGGGGAGTGGAGTGCAGAGGTTCGTCGCTGCCGAAGTGGAAAAATGACGAAATGGTACACGAATTCAATAATGAATCTACATCGTATTGGGAAGATCAAGATAGAAAGCACTAAACCTGCGTCAAACAAAATGGATAAATCGCTGAGAACGGGGCTTGAAGCCTTCTGCACACTGCTTCATTCCCTTTCGTTCAAAGAGCAACGAAGGCTTGAGAGGAGCCTAATTCCGATGGAACCCGGAAGGAGACGTTGGAACTTCCCAAGACTGCTTGGACCGGAAGTCTGGTAGACATCTGGTAGACATCTGGTAGACATCTTCATCCTCAAATTGACGTTTTCCGTCCAAGAATTTCTCTTGAAAGATGCACCTCGTCGGCAGTTGTTGGTTTTGGTTATCTCACCGCTCGCTTTGCATTAGCATGCGGTATTTCCCGAACGTCGTTCACTTTTAAACGAGAAATTCCTGGCTGTTGACGTTCCTGGATCCTGCTGTTGTTCATCGTTGGTATCGTAATGTTGTCATCGGCCGATGACCGCAAAAATGAGCATTACTCCCGTCCTTCCCGACAGGAGAAACCTTTCGGTCATGTGAATAGACGACGGGGGACCCTTCCACCGCCTTCTGGCATCTATGGAATCCGAAAAATAAGTAGATGTGAGGAGCATGGAATACCTTTTACCATCGCATTCTCATTTCCATCACTCATCGAATCTTTTTTCGTCCGTCTCAAAAACGAACTGCTCGCATACCAGTGAAGAATAATATGGAATTTATTTACCCTGCCTCCACGATATAGGTGCTTCACAACAAAGTAAAAGTCAGAGTTTGCGCAAGAACAGGGCAGGGTGCAATCAGGAGAACAAGGTGCCGAGCAGAGATAGCCAGGGTCTATCGAACGAAATGGCCCGAGTGCAGGCTCCCAGATAGTCCCTGTAAGTCCCAGGCCGGCATTTCGACCGAATGAACTCCCGCTGATCGACGTTCGAGCAGAGGAGTTCCCCCTGTCGGTCGAGCACGAGATCCCGAGGCTGGCACGGAGCCGCATGGCGATAGTTGAACGCGTGGCACTGGCCGTCCACGGGCCAGAGCATCTGGCCGTCGGGGCAGGGGTTGTGGCGGCATACGATCCGCTTCATTCGGGGGATGTAGATCAGATGCTGCCTGGGGGCGCAGGGACCCTGGGTGTACAGATCGTAGCATCCTCCCGTTTCCTGGTAGTGAAAATGAGGGCTTTCGCACTCGCACTCGGCCTGTCCGAAGGCATTCACGAAGAGGTACTGATTGGCGAGGCAAGGACGAGATCTCGAAGGCTTCACCCTACACTGGACGCCGTAGCCAGACCTCGTCGAGGCATCCCTACCCAACACGATCCACTCGCCCGGCCCGCACGGCCCCTCGTGGAACAACTCGTAACACCTCCCATCCCCGGGATAGAGCAGAGTCTTGTTCGCTCCGCACACTCCCCCGTCCACGTCCTGGATGAGGTCTTCGACGGACGGGGAGGAGCCGCGGACGGCAGGCCTGCCGGATGGGTCCGAAGGATAACACCAAGGGCGACCGCTCACCGCTTGGATCACGTAGCCTGACGGGCACGGTCCTTGCGTGTGTTCTCGATAGCAGGAGCCTCCCCACTGGATCATGTTGATGGGGCAATCGGTGGGGAAGACGACGGAGTCTCCCCCACCGACCATGGTCAACCACGTGCTAACCAGAATCACGAGGACCACCTCTCTGAAACGAAACCGATAACCCGAAAATGACACGCCTCTGAATCGAATATTTTAATTCTCACATTCCAAATGTGGAAATGTGCAAGAACGCGACTGGGGTAGAAAATAAATATTTCAGCCAAGTTTGCAGGCGAAGAGAATGCTCCACTTGTTTCGATACAGGGTTCAAGCTCCCCGTGAAACAACTGCGCACAGACAACACCACCGACGACGGCCGAGAATAGGGAAAGATCGGGATCCAGAACACTCACCTGTGACACATCACAGACCGGGTCGAATCGGTGAGCCGAGGCGGACGAGAAGGGCAGCTCGTCATGACGAAGATATGAAACAGTCCGTGCCCTTCATATCCCCAAGATCAAGGCGAAACTCAGCCCTGCGCACGGCCGTTTCTCGGTACGCACGCACGAAGCCGGAGGCGAGAATCCTTTGTTATTGAAGGTGACTCAGGGAAACGATCCGCTGTCCATTATGAGTCGGGGAGAAATCGGAGAGACGCGATGGGAATCCCACGCCGGTCCCCGTCTCACTGGAAGCCCGACTCGTCTCGAGTGGGAAGATATGAGGACCTTGGGCGTGCTGCATCTGCGTCGCATGGCCCTTGGTCTGGAGGTCTTCGTCTGGTTTTGGAGGGCTGGGCCGTTAACGGTCGTTCCCAGGGGAACTGGTTTCCCATTAATGTCATGCAATGAGTGAGGTAGGCTCTGGGAAAGGAGACTGGAAGTTGCGGATTTTTATTTTTTTTTAAAGGATTTTACTGCAGAGTTTTTTTGCGCACTCTGGCATTTCAAGTCGAGCAGGAGCTTGAGAAATTACTTATTCTATCAATTAACTGTGGTTAAGACTACCGTTGAGGTTAATTAACCCGAAGATTTGAGAGAAATGCTGAGAAAAAGGCTTTGCTGCTTCGAAGATTGAATTCCACCAACTTAAAGGGCGATGTTAGTATTTAGCAACTAGTTGAGACACTTCTATGCATCATGAAAGCTTATTTTTATTAATTCCCAAGGCGAAAGAGCAGAAATGGCAGTTGATCAGTTTAAAAAATTACGAAAGCTACATTTCGATCCATACGGTCAGGTTTCGTCTCTCCCACAAAAAAGTACCATCCCTTATGCAAAAATGTTAGGTTTATCCCATTACTAGAACGGGTCAGAAATATGCGTTGCAGGCTGACAGAAAAGACAGGAGATTCTTGAATAGGGGAGACCACGAGGAAAAAAAAAAAGCAATTCCATTAGCCTTTGCCCCACGGCTCGTTCGAGGGATTTCTAACGTAAGCCACTTATCCAGTCCCTGTCCTCCTGGAAAGGAGGATTAATGGAGGAAACGGAGAAGAAGATCGAAGGAACTGCCGAGATGAGATCTGCGGGTTTTTGCTGATCCTAGTCCGACCCTATGTGCAGATCGTGGAAGCACTAACACAATACACGTTTTTCGCATATTTTTAGGGTGTGAAATGTCCTTTTATTTAAGTGAGGAGCTCTTCTCTTTAGGGGCCCGTGTCTATATGGAGCCACTGAAAAAATGTAATTCTAGCATGCGTTCCGAAAAAATTCCGAGTGAACTGAGAGGGAAAAAGAAAGGAAGTAGTAGGAAGTACCGGATGCCATCATAACGCATTGCAGCTATCTCCTCTACCCTTCGACGAACATCGGAAGTGGACGCAGGGATGCAATTCATACAGAGATGCAGGGATGCAAGAATGCAGGGTTGCTGGGATGCAGGTCCACTCTCCTTGAGCTGTCGCAGACGCAGGAGTGAAAGGCAGCACGTACTTGACTGAAAGCTGTCGGTCTTCGACGGTTTGACATGACGCTTTTTCCAAGCTAAGCAAAAACATGAGCTAATCGCTAGGACGCGAGGAAGCTGATATTCACATCCGTTTCATGAAGGATGTGTTAAGAGCTCACAGAGAGGATGACGAGGGGGAAACCCCAAGAGAAGGAAATCCCTTAACCATAATTAGCATTCGCCTGGATCTTGCCCGATGAATATATGCATACGAAGCATCATATAGGCCGGTCGCTATCTTCTTCGCGTGGCCTCTATTGCCAGGTCACGGTCACCGAAGCCTCCTGGGTTTTACCCTCGACAGTCCACCGGTGAGAGGAGGAGACGACGTTTTGCCTTCTCGGATAAGCGTGTCACTGGGTGCAGCAGCGAGCTGACCTCCCTGCTCCCCGTCCTCCCAGTGGAAGGCCCGATGCATGCGGTGGGACTTCCGCGAGGAACGGACGCTCTGTCTCTGCTTTCCCAACGATTAAACTCTGCTCGGGATGCGACGGACTGCAGGGAGCGGAATGATTTTCCGCGCACGAACGGAAGGGCGAGAAAAAGCGCGAGAGAATCACGGAATGACCTTCTTTCAGGGTCCAGCAACATCTGAACTCCATGTCGCTCTGTTGCACTCCGTGTCGTTTGCGACCGACTTCCCCTGTGAACACCCGAGATCCTTCACGATCTGCGATCATGCTATACGTTTTGTTTTTGTCTTGCGTTTCCTTCTTACTCGCACGTCGAAAAGTAGGCTCGTAATCCCCCAAGGGGAATAGATTCGTGTCGCCTCAGCAAGCACTTCCATTTTCATCTATTTTCATTTCATTTACATTTAAAGAAGTAACGCTGTTTTTTTTTTATCGGGTTGATCTTCATCCTCATCCTTACCAGACGTGACTCGCGTAACCCCGACGTGTCGTTTACACGTCGTTCTACCGACTCGAAATGGAAAACGTTCGACTTTTTTAAAAACAGTCTTTAAGGTATGTTGTTCACACGCGCTGCACGTGGGACGTGAAACGGCATGCCGACGTCAACGAAACGCATCTCGTGCCTCGTGTGACGTCGTTCTCGGGTCGACACGATCGATGGGAGTCGTTCAATTCACCTCCTACGGTGTCGTAGCGGGGTCCGAGGCACGCACGAGAGGCGCCGGGCGAATAAAAAAAATAGGCCCTAATTGCAGGGGGCCACTTCTTATCCCTATTCTTTTTTGCATTCCTGGATTAGCCGCCTTCTGAAAAATGTCTCCGTTTCGTGATTGCGATGACATGGCACCCGCCCGGCAATCCAACGGTCGCGCATCTCACCATCCGCTTCAGTCCCAATCGTGGTCGTCGAGGACGTCTCGTCTTCCCCATCCAGAAAGCATGAGAAAACACTAAAGACGAATGAAGGGTGTCACCGGGGAGGAAGGCCTTCGAATCCCGGTCAGACGCAGATGCAGCCGTGAGGCGACGTCTCTCGCGCTTCCCGCACGACCTCTCGTTTGGGAGAGCGGAAGAACGGGAGGCGTGGTGGCGACATCTGTGTGTCATTCATATCGACAAGAGTTTATCTTTCGGTGCATAGATGTCGCTTTCTTGAGGCTCTCGAACGGGATCCTGTCGGATGCCTTTCTCGCTTTTAGGCTTTCCCTTCGAACCGTGATCGGAACACAGGTGGAAATGGACGCCCCAAGTTTCTTAGGGCGTGTCTTCTCCGAGATAGGCGAAAACCGGGCCAAGATATGGAGCGAATGTGAAGAAGAACGTATAGGGGAGAGAAACCGGATTGCGAATGGGTGCTGCATGGCGAATGATGGGTCATAAGAAGCCAACTGACGCCATGTTTCTCGGATGTCACAGCCATCTCTGGCAATAATTCAGAGTTTGCACCTTCTAGGCTAGTGAGAGACACGGAAACATTAAGGAAACGTGGTGTCAGCTCGCATCTTATGACCCGTCATTTGCCGTTTGGCACCTACTTGCGACCCGGGTCCCGCTCCTTTCCGTGCCGAGAGCATTCTCGTTCAGCAGGCAGTGAAATTCGCACCTTCGCGAACAAACGAGCTGAGGGATCCCGGAGATGAAACCCGAGCTCCAATCTCGGAAAAGTGGAATCGATCCTCGTGATTCCGTCACCTCTCCTTTATATTTAATGTCAGCCTACTTTACATCACGTCAATCACTTCCCGTATCAAGATTTAATTAGATCATCGATCGATGAATTGCGATTCGGACTTTGCAGAATCATTTCCTCGCGGAAGAAAACGGAAGTTGGCAAGCTGCCCTCTCCCCGAATCGCGATTTTTAGTGCAATTTGATATTGTCCCAGAATGGGAAATTGCTCCACGTCTAGCCTGAGGTTGTGGCGAAAGTTACTGGGTTCCTGCATTCACATTTGGCCATTGACGTGGCTTGCAATGACTGCCAATTAAGATGTGAAATTGCTAGGACAGGTGTGGTGCATATCGTATAATACTGTAACAGTAATGACTGGTTCGGCGACACATGTAAATATTACCATGCAAAATGCCTGAAGCTGTAGTTCACAATTCGGGCTGAAACGCATCCGTCCCCGATTACTCGACTTCACGGCAGCTGCCAACTGTCCACGAACTGACTTCTGACTGTCAAACTGCTCGCTATTTTCAAAACCACAAACCATTATGCCACGGGTTATGTTTCGTCTCATATCATCAACTCACAAAAATAGAAAAAAAGAATGATGAATGTCTTCCGTCTTTGCTTCTAGCAAGGAAACAAAAAAAGCATAGAAATTCTCACAATGTCTAGTTTATTTCATCCAATTAGAGATTTGGAAGAAAAGCAAAAAGAAAAGATGGCAGGGGGGAAAGAACATTGGTCAGCATCGACTTCCCTGAAGACAAAAAGCATCCGAAATGGGGGCGGTTCCTCGTTTCCTCTCTGCATCGACCAACACACGAAGCCATCTGAGACTTATTGCTAAGTTCCTTTTGGGTTTCCGGGAAAAATACCAAACAAACAGACAAGGACAGGTCGAAAGGGAGCAAAGCAAGGAATGAGCAGAGTTGTTAAAATGAAATAAAAATCACCGGGAATTTTATGGGTCGAATATAAGACGGTTCCAAATGGCACTCTGGGGTCTTTTTTTAAATTAAAAGAATTTCCGTAAAAGAAACACATGCTAGAACTAGAAACTGTAGAACCGACAAAGTGAGCAAAAACTCAGGTAGATCAGAACACAAATTGTCTGAATGAGCTGTAGTCAAAAGGGAGAGGGAAATTATTGCACAATTATTAATCATGGTGATTTCTTTCTATTTTGGATTTCGAGTTCGGAAAGGATAGAAAAAGAAAGAGGGTGTGAGATTCTGGAATCTCCTTTCATAGAATTAATGGCCCTATCTCATCGGTGAGCTAAAACATCATCTCTCTCTTTTCAAAAATTCAAGTCAAGGTTTATCACATCGACGTCTAAAAATGCTTCCCTAGCAACTCCTGTCGTCTCTCTCTCTTATGGGGCTAACACAGCTGCGAAGTCATGGCGGGACGAGCACTCTCCATCACAGGTCCTACATGAGGGTGGGGAAACAAGAGAGAAAAATCAATCAGTAAAGCCAATACTGCCACGCGTCGAGCACCGGAAAGCAAATACTCCATGGTTTATTTATTTTTTTTTCTACTGTCAGAAACAAATGAGAGCTGGACGTTGGGGACGAGACGTGGGGGTGAAGGACGAAATGAAGGTGGGAATATGAACGAGTTGGTACCGCCCGGGAATCTAATTATTCCAGAGCATTCATCACCAACGGCGTCCCTTGACACCTATCTCCTTGGCCCTTTGGGTAAGGGCCGAAGGAGGAAGAGTTTTCATCCCACACCCTCCCGATTCATCATTTACCCTTTCCTCTCCTTCTTCCATTCCAAGGCAGGAATGCCAAGTGAGAAATGGGAAAAAAGGGGTTCCTGTAAACATGCAAAGATGGGGGCTTCCAGAAATACAATGTGGATGCGACAAGACGGAGGTCGTCCCAAATATTTTGACTCAACCGTTTATTTTTGCAGCGTCTACTCCAGGACCTCAAAAAAAAAAGGTCTGGGTCGCTTCAATGGCACCTGGGGTTATTCTGGGCAGTGATGCCAATAAATTCAACTCTCATATCCTCACGCACAAAAAAAGGTAACCGACGTCAACGAAGAAGGGAGAGACGCCTCGGACTGGAAAGAAAGAGGAGTTGAATTTGGTCTGTCTTCCCTGCAGCGACCTTGAACGAGAAAGGCGGTCGCTATGGCAACGGGTGCATGCCGCGATGGCTATTCCATGAGGGCACATCGCTGGACTTATTGGAGATTGCAGATCTGGGGCTGGGAGCGCCAACGTGATTGTGCATAGGCGGACTGTGTCTCAACGGGATCGCGGAAGAGGAAATGAAATGGCATCGGGGAGGCAATGTGAATAGTCGTCGCTTTTTCGTCTCCCACCCTCACTTCCCCTTCCATCAAACGACGCTTGGGGACGCGAGGGCGCGCCTGGCTGACACTTATCAATTTTCCATAACGTCAACCCACTTCCTTTTAAAGGGGGATCAGAGCCATGCAGTGCCCTTTTCACCAGAGGGCTCCGGGTAGAAGCCATACGAGACGAGAGGAGGAACGAGATTGTATCGGATTCATGCCAATGAACTTATCCCGAGAAAAAGAATCAGAAATTTCCTCCTCCTGGGAAGGAGATAGAAAAAAATAAAGGATCCAAGCTCCATGGGGGATTCTCTCGACGTAGACGGGACTTTCTTTTTTTTTTTATTCTTTACCCCGAGGTCATCGTCGTGACTTTCAGTCGATCCAACGGAAACCGCTTTTACTGTACGTTGCGTATATAAAAAAAAGTTGGTTTCCCTGCAGAGTTGACTATATTCGGGATCATAGGCTGTAAAGGCCGAGGGCGAGGAGGAAGAACTGGGACGCACGATCTCTACCAAGTGGGCGAGCTAAAAAAAAAAAGTTTTTCTACGCTACGAACAGGTACAAGTACAAGAATATGCATGAATATGCAAGCACGAACTGGATGAGTCAGTCAAGGGCAGGATGTACGTAGTTGCGGGGGGCAGAGGTGGACCGGGCGGATCAAGAAGGTCAACAGCTCGTTTCTACGGGAGAGACGGGAATTTCCAAGGGAGGCTCTAAGGATGGTTCCATTCAGTTTTTCCGCATGCCGTCTGCCCCATTTCCGTGCACGACCGATCGATTAGCGCCTTGCAGGAGTCAGGAGAGTTAGTGATATCAAGAGGCGATTTCGCCCATAGCACAAGCCAATTGCCTTATCCTGACTTTAGGTTTTGAGTCTAATGTTAAGTTATAGCCTTGCCGAGGCCTAGTTGAATTTATGTTGGTGACTAACTGAAGCACAGCAGAATTGCAGAACAGCTGCTAGTTGTCGGCCTTTGTTCCTGTTCTCTTGCTCTCCCCCATAACTAGAAGCGCATCAAACACCATAAATGGCGTCCTTCCCTTTCCTTCCCTCTCCAGCTTGTAACCCAATCCTCCCCCTCTTTCTTTTTGTTCCTTGCTCCTGCCAATCTCTCTGATCACGACCAGAAGAGGGCAAAGGAGATGAGAGCAAAAGAGATGCAATGGCGTCAGTCGATCCCGCCAATCACGCTCTGGGGTCCCAGTCCCAGCTGACCCATCACTAATAGACGGAATGGAATGGAACGCCGTCGTCATGGCAACATACCCCCCCCATCAATAATGCACTAACAGAACCCACTCCCATTCTGAGCGCATCTCGATTCACCTTCCGACTCCAGTCCGGCGTTTCTTTCGATTTTGTATAGAGGCAGAAAACGTGAGCACGTGAGAAATTTTACGCTTTTTAACGAAGAAGAAAGATGAGAAGGGGGGGAGGGGGAGGGGGCCGGAATGGAAGAGGGGGATCGATCGAGGGAAGAACTTTTCCGATGAGATAAGGCAGAAGAACGAATGCTTGGACGGTATTTTACCCTCCTCGTTTCTTCCATCCCCTCAATTTCCCACAGATTACGGTGGATCACGAGTCTGAGAGAAGTCCCACGAGATATCCTCCGCCCGGCACCCCTCCCATAAACGGTCCATAGGTGTAATCCATCACAGAATATGAATCCCTTCGTGTTTCTCGTCTGGACCCTTTCCTTTCTGGGCATTGTGACAAGTGATGATCTCCTGACACACGTCATGACGCTTTCTCTGACCATTTTTGACCATTAACGTGACCATTTTTGGTCTCCTTGGATCGGATACGAAAGCACAGCCTTATCTCCCGTAAAGCACGTCCTCCAATGCAGCATCTCGAGAGAACCAATGCTAAAGCCTAAAAGGGATGTCGAGCCGATCCCCATCTCGTTATCCTTGGCAAGTCTCCGGCGAAGCAAAAGGAGACTGGAAAGGAGAGAATCTTTCCATCCTATGAACCACAACCATCGATTTCCCGGCGATTGCCACATCCGACGAGATGGGAAAGGGTCCCTCTCTGGTAATAGTCTCTTAGGAAACGAGGAATGCCCCGAATCTCCGCCGCAGACTTCGCTCCGCTGGACACGCGAAGGAGGAAAGAGAAAAATGCCTGCTTGGTATGGCAGCACCCGTCATGCATGTGGATCGATTCCGGGGACCTTGGGGGCCTTGAAGAAGGAGGCAATGGGCGAGGGAAGGAGGGAGAGACTCGAGAATAACATCCACTCTATACCTACATGCACCCCTCGGGATGCATCCCCCTTTCTCTTTTCCTTTGCATCAATTTCCCCGATCATCTTATCAAAAAAAGAGGTTTCCAAAGGAATTCTCATTCCGTCTCTGCACGTTTCGGATGAAAATATAAAGGAAAAGCTTTTGTTTTCTATTTCCCCTTTTTTCTCGAAAAAGAATATTTCCTCTCAAGCACAGAGGTGAGGTGAGGGCAGAAGGCGAAGGTGAGAGTGAGAGTGAGGGAGAGCAGGAATGAGGGGAGGATGTGTCGAAAGGCAAGAGCAGTGAGAAGAGTCCTAGAACATACAGGGAATCTGGGATTTCCGCCAACCTCTCAAGCATCGGCTGGAAAATGTAACAAGCTGGATGAAACCGAAAACAAGCAACAGCTCTCTCCATGCCGATCGATATATTTAGAAAAAGCTACAAGAGGGCTGCAGAAATCCTCTAAAGAACAGAAATGAGTGATAGGACCAAGATGATCCAAGATCCAGACATTTTCTCTCGCTGGTAATGACATGAATCCATCAGTGTAGAAAAGAGAGGCCTCCCATCTAGGTTGACATGTCATTAGATCGATTTCCGATCACACGCCGGATGAGAGATGGATCGCAGAGGAAAGCCTCACTCACCGGGTAAGCAAGATCGGGAATCAAAGCGGGGTCTCCCTCTTGTTCAAGGCGAGGGCTTTCACCTGTCGGCCGAGGTGTAGGAGCCCCGCAGCGGCCGCCCTGGCCCCCTTCCCCTTCACCCCCAGCCCACCGTTGTTGGTACCAGAGGACACGAACCCGTTCTTGGACTTGGATTTCAGCAGGGGCGGTTCCTTCCCGAGTCCGAGAATGATCCGCATGTGGTCGCTGATGTGAGGCGCCTGATTGTGCGCTGGGTTCTCCTCCTCGGGCGTGATGGGCGGCGTGGCGTAGATCGGACTCATGCAACCCCCCTTCCCCTGCACCTGATGCGACCTCCGCCGTCCCGCCCGCTGCGAGCACTGTTGAGTGAAGCTCAACCCCCCATTCCCATCCTGTTGGGAGCCCGTGGATCCTCCCGTGAGGCTCTTCCCACCGCTGCTACTGCAACTCGTGTTATTCCCTCCCAGGGAACCGATGAAGGAACGTCGCTTGTCGCACGTCGATTCTGGCGAGTCTTCCGGACTTCCGTTCTCTTCCCCGTTCACACCGTTCACCGGAGACGTCACCTGAACACTCCCGTTCACGCCTTGCGGCCTTCAATTAGATAAAAGTGCTAATGAAACACAAGAAATATTGCAGATCCTTTTAGAATTTTCCGGAAGGTGAATTACCGGGGTTGAAGCCTGGGGATGGAAGTAGTGGAATAAATGGGAGACTTCCTGCCCTGTTCCAGGTGCTCTTCCAAGATACGGGCGACCATATCGTGACCAGCCTTCAAGGCCACCTTCAGAGGTGTTCTTCCCTGAGGATCCGTCTTTCGTGGATCGGCCCCGTGTTCCAGAAGCACCCTGACACAGTGGGCGTGTCCCTCCTGAGCAGCAACCCCTAAGGCAGTTGCTCCTTGTCTACAGGCCTTGTCCACGCTAAGACCGACGCTCCGTTGAAGAAGGGTCTTGAGGACGTGGGCGTGTCCCCGCCATGCTGCGGCGTGAAGAGCTGTCCGCCCCCCTTTGTCGGTGGCTCCGGGGTCCGCCCCCGATTCCAAGAGGAGTTCCACCATCGAAGCATGGCCTTGCCACGCCGCCACGTGCAAAGGCGTTCGTCCCTCGCTGTCCACCGACTCCAGGTCAGCTCCGCATTCCGTCAGGAATGACGCCATGGAGAGCTGGAAGAAAGGGGTAAAAAGAGAGAAAAATGACAGGTTGTCAAACCAGGCCGAATGAGACCACAAAGAGAAAAAGAAGACCATCAACACAGTCCCACGTCGGTGGTAATCAATTCGCGGACATAATTTGATGGTAGATCCCAAGAGGCCTAGTTCCCATTGCAATTCCCACAGAGCTCATTCACTTCACAGCCCTTCCGGTGGTCCTTTCACTCCGGTCTCACCTTATTTTCCAAGGCGAGGACGTAGATAGTGGACCGTCCATCGGCGTCCTTGTAGTCCAGCGGAGCCCGATTCGCAGCGAGGAATCGGAGGACCTCCTTATGGCCGTGAAGGGCAGCGACCCTCAGGGCGGATCGACCGTCGTGGCTCCGATGATCCACCGAAGCCCCCGTCTCGTACAGGGCCGACACCACCGACTGGTGACCCTCCTGGGCTGCCAGGATCATCGCATCTCGACCCTCGTTGTCCACCTCGTTCACCTGTGTGACCCATACACGAATTAGGACATAAATTCTGGAATGGTCCATCATTTTCCTAACGAACGTAGCTATTACTTTCCCCAGTACTTATCAGTCCCTGTAAATCAGTCGCGATTTTGCACGACAATTGGAGAGAGAATGAAGTCGTGGTCAGTAAAAAAGGTAATTCCGGACGGCAACTAACCGGTCAACAACCACGAAAGAAGGATGATGACCGTCTTCAGCATATCCTAGAGTGGCCCTTGCGGATAGATCCCAATAATCGCATCATGACTACGAGGCCAAAGTACTCGTTTCACGGTGACCGGTCACGAGAAACGCCAGCCGGTTATCAGTACCTGCAACGCTAGAGTGTACTTTCCTCTCTCCTCGTACACTCACCCTCTTCGAATTCCGGATAGCACGATTTCATTTCCAGGCCGACGTTTGTGGACAAAGGACAAAAGGAAAGGGACCGGAAAGGGGCTTTGATAAGAGAAAGATAACTTCTGTGAGAGTGAGTGTCCCTCGAAAAGAAAACGACAAGGATGAGATCGATACATGAAGTCGGCCTCGTCCCTTCCCTCCTCGCATCGCATGACGGGAGAGAGACAGACGGAGAAAGGATATTTCTCCCTCGCTTTCTCATCGCTTCCCATTATCGCCACGAAATTGCCGACCGCATGGGACGCCATCGTGCTCATGAAGACGTTTCATCACCACCATTCACCGCAACTCGAAGGAATCCCTTACCCCTCCCCCAAAAAATCACCATCGCAAACCCCACTCCAGTTCCCAGACCTTGACTCTTCTTTCGCTCACCTTGGATCCAGCTGCGATGAGCTCCTTGCAGACGTCGGCGTGACCCTCGAAAGCAGCATAATGCAACGGCGCCCATCCCCCATTATCACGATGCATTTCGTCCAAGCCTCGGTCCAACAGCAGTCGCACTACCTCTCGACTCCCCTAAAATGGGAGAGAAAATCATAATTAAACCGTGAAGAACGGCGGGCGGGCAAAATGGATGAGGAAAGTCTCTCATCTCAAATGAAGCATTTTAATCAAGGGCGATGGGATGGGGCCCATTACTTCCCCTTTTGAATGAGGAACTGTCACGGACGTAGGAGTGCATTTTCTGCTCCCCGAGCCAGAATCTCATAACCCGTTCGTGTGTACATAACGAATGATGGATGACACATATTTTATAGTTAATATAAGATCCAAGCCGAGAGCATCGGAAACACATGGAAGAGAAAGAGGGAAGCGAAAGCATTCCGGAGTTCAGGCTCGAGATCGATTTCCAGTTAAGTGCAGCCGTGTGTTCCTCCATCGCGTCCTCATTTCCTTGCGGTAAATGAATGATAGACTTGAGCTAAACAGACATGGGCATCAAGGATGTTTTTTCCACGTGGTGAAATCCTCGACTTCTTTCCCGAGATGGCCATTTACCACCTGTGGTATCTCATATACCCTTTCTCCATGGGATTGCAACATGGCGGGTCGAGTCCAGCCTTGTAAAAGCTGGTCCGGAGGGAAAAAAAAATAGAAAGAAGAGGTGCGATTACATATTCATGCAAGCATGTGGCCGGAGACATCCTCGAGAATATCAATGAGAACGACGACGAGTTCTCGAATCACAACTCTTTCTTCCATCGACAGGGAAGCCATCTGCTTGGCTAGGCATTTCCATCCTGACAATGCCGCGCATTTTTCACCTTCCCTCCATCGTTCTCCTCGGTGAGAGCGATGGAAAGGCAAGGGTCCCATTCAATAAATAGCATTCCCCACCCAATTGAAACTGGTAGACAAAAGGAAGGTCGACCTCCATCATCAATCCACCGATATAAATGGCTGTTCGTTTCCTTTGAGAGATCCATTTCATTTCTTCGATTGCTTCTTCCCTTATCCCAAACAAGTAATCAATCAGTTCTTTTCTCCCGGGAGTTGGAATCAAGGAGAGCAGCTACGCCGGATGATGGGACGAGAAAGAGAAAACAAGACATCATGGGAAATAAGGGGGAACCTTGACCCGAGCGAAGCGACGACTAAGCTGGATGGGAACTCGACTGAATTGAGATAATAATAATGAAAAAAAGGCCAGCGGATGGGAAACAAGAGAGGTCGATGATCCATCAACGGAGTGAGAGATAATTACCGGGGATGGGGTCCCCATTCCGGTGCAGGGGTGAAACTACGGTATAAAAGAGAATGGAGGGAGGGGACACCGATCCGCCTTTATGGCTCATTCCGTCCATAGACACAGAGACATAGTTTCCCTCTTTCCCTTTCACATTTGATTTCCCATACCTAAACTCTGTTCGACCCTGCAACATCGAATCGACAGCAAATGATATGTAAAAAATGTTCGAGTGCGCAGACGTGGCCTGAACACTGGCAATGCTCCGTTTCCTCTTCTGTTTTCCGCCTCAATCGGATCAGAATTCTCCGAGGACAAAGTTCTACGCAGCCAAACATACCTGTTTCTCGAAAGGCCGTGGCATAAACGCATGGGTTTCACATAGTGAAGGTACTGTAGAACGGGACGGAGAAAGGAAAAAAAAAATTTTGTTCGGACCTGAACCCGCTCTCCGGAGTTCAAGGACGACAACACTGGTCACGCCATTAAAACACACAAATACACGTGTGCAGCTGCGATACAGTATATCGGGACGAAAAAAAGAGCAGATAGAAAGAAAGTGAGATGCTCCCAACCCGAACACGTGCATGGCTTTTACATCGATAGTGAGATATGGACGTGAATGCGACGCATGGCAAGTCATGAAGGCCTAAGAATAAATCATTCCCGGACGTGAATAATCTTCGAATGATGCCAAAGCAAGCAAGCAGCGTAAGCCAGGCACATGCGAAGAAATTTAATGTTCTAAGTGCTCCAGACTTTCTCTTCGATTATTGGAACACATGTACATGGCACATGTAAGGATGCTGTTTCATCAGCATTCAAAAGGAGACGTCTCCTTCGACTTTCTTCCCTGTTTTCCGCGTGCCTTTATGCGACGGTGAGAAATGAGGGACGATGAGAGCCAGTTTGGATCATAAAAACCAAGGATCTTCATCTCGTTGATTCGGAAATGGGAAAGTCGAGCAGTTTTTTTCTGTAGGTCCAGGGTCACCCACAAACTACTACGTTTCACTCACCACTCCCTGGGAAACGAGGAATGAAAGGGGGTGGCTAGTATAAAACGAATCCCACGCCTGACCATGGGAAAAGTGTGGCAAATATATCAGCCCAAAGTGGGGCAAGGAGATTCTCATGCAAACACGGGAAACCCATTATTTAAAAAATACTCCGAGACACACGGAGATCCCGCATTTCAGGTCGTGACTGAAAAAGAAAAAATCTCTCTCATCTCTTCGCTCCCGTTCCTTCACGAGCAAGGAAAATGAACACATCGCAGAGTCTCGATGCAATTCCCATGCCTCACGATTGACGATCGATCAACGCCAAAACAAGCACGCGAAACCAGATCCCAACCTATCAACTCGGTCAATGTAATCAGTACCGAGCCGAAGAACCGGCACAACCTTGCTTTGGGATTGAGACGAATACCTACCATAAAATGCATGAGACAGAGCCGCATCCATACAAAGAACATCTGGTCTACACAACACAATAAAGGAAGCGAAGCACATTGAGGCCCAGTGTTGTACGTGCTCAGCATCCAGGAATCCTGTTACTATTAATTACTCCCTCACGCTCTCTTTTAATGATTCCCAAACGGCTCCCCAAGTGGGTCAACATAGGCAATGACGCCCAGGATTCCAAATACGGTGAGAAAACACAACTTCGGACCAACCCCAGTGAGAGAAAGCATGATTCATTCCCTGCTAATTACAAGGAATTATTGTCATGGATGAAGCTGATAAAGTCTCGAAGAAAAAAGATGAAATAAAAAGAAAACAAGTTTCTCAGGGGGGGAGGGGGGGTAGGAAGGAAGAATGCAGTTTCGGTAAAGGCAGATGGAAGAGTCCTACAATGAAAGAACTGTTGAGTCGAGCGAGAACCGAATGATGGGAATAAAACAAAGAGCTTTTTCTCTTTCTGCCTCTCTCCACGCAAAACCTGGCACCCATGGACCGAATCAACCTCATGTTACAGCCCCTTTTCTCCGCAGAACGACTTTCAAAGGCTGGAGCACCGGGAGCTCGACCTCTTTCCCTCTCCAGGCGTTACTGGACACGAAGGGTTGTTCATTATTGTTGTTCTGTTCTAAGTCTTTCACGGAAATACTCATGATTTTGGAAAATAAAACCGCATATGAATACCTTATAATCAACAAGAAGCAAGGATTTTTTGGTTCTCCATGAAACTAAGTGGAAGCGGGGACTAATCGCCTCCTGGAACCAACTACGCCTGCGTTACAGAAGACGACGGTTCTTAAGATGCCCTTAACGCCCTCTTGGAGTACAAGGATGAAAAGTTGGAAGATGCAAAGAGGTCAGGGAATGGGGGTGGCAAAGGCGTATTCCATGTTCACGTCGCGTGATACGGACCCCACCATCTATAGATGAGACATTAGCATGGGAGAAATATTGCCCGAGACATACGGAATTCCGTTAGTAAGTCCAGGTCCAACCCCGAGGCACTGCGTCCTCCTGTCAATACTCCTTCCCTTCTCTCGACTGCACTCGTGAATGCAAAGAGAGGAAGAGCCCTCTTCTTCCCTTTTTCGTGATCAATGTGGGCAATGGCGGGCTCGAGACTAACGAGCCAAGGTCTATCGATCCTCCAGTTCCTCTCGCTCAGCTTCACAAGACGTGACAAGGACCCTTTCTTTTAAAAATCAACAATGGATGCTTGAGAATTCTAGTTCACACTATGTGCGGATTTTACTGACATGAGCAAGCTACGGCCATGACAAGCAGAATATTCTGCCGCGTTTCTTGCTTCCATTCTCAATATCGACGGATGGCAGTAGGGGCGTCCGCATCGACAGAGCATGCCTCCAATCAGATTATATTGACGGAAAAAAATGCGTTCAGATTACACTCGCGTTTGAGTAAGGTCGGCGAGTTTGCTTATCGCAGCAGGTGCTCGAGTCCAGATTACAAACACTCCTGGTTGGCGGTAGACGTAAGCAAAGCTCGCGTCTGAAGTGATGAGAACAAGGAGTTCGGAGCCAAACCTGAGCGGCGGCGACGGAGAGGACGGTTCTTCCCTCGGAGTCGATGGAATCCACGTATGCGCTCCAGGTGAGGAGGAGATCCACGACGTGGGCATGCCCCATGGATGCCGCCGCCCACAACCCCGTTCGGCCAGCTTTGTCCGCATGATCCACGTCCGCCTTGAACTCCAACAATAACTCACAGATTTCCCTAGAAAAAGTACCGAATATGATATGATTTCAAGAGGAGCGAAAAGATGTGAAGCCCATTCTAGACGACTTAACCCCTGTTATGCCTGGATTACGATTCAGGCGTTCGAAATATATTCCATTTAGTATTGCGGGTGATTATGGAAAAGGTACACGCATTTAAAAATTATCTTTACTTTTAATTTCCTTTAATAAATATATTGAAAGGAATAACAAAAATCTTACAACTCCATTAGTTCTGCTGGCAATCAAATCCTATTTTTTTTCTTCATTTGTTTCTCGACATTTATTTACTAATTTCCGTAAGCCACCTCGAAAAAAAAACTAAAAAAAAAACTTGGAAAAGAATTTCAGAAAATCACTCACTATTCAAATTTTCATAAACCTCAAAGTTCTCACTCTTTTATCTTCTCTATGGCTAGGGAAAGTCTGTAAATTGGGGGTTCAAAATGAAGCATGGGCATAAGCGGGTTAAGTATGGACAAAAGCTATTGGTTACCTCATAATCTTATCAAGTTACAAACATCATTTGCCGCACAACTTCGTCTCTTTGGAGCGTATTCCGTGACAAATTAACAACCTGTCAGAATGAGTAGCATGATTCTTTATTTATCAATAATCCATTTGGCTCCAGAACAAAGAATCTATAAATAGCCTACAAAAAAATCATTACAACGTGCACCAGTACTACTGAAATTGAAGCCAAAAAAAAAAACCAAAAAGATATTTGTTTGGGGTTTTGACTGAAACTTCACTTCTACGGAAACCACTAATGTTCTAGAGCATAATTGCTAAGAAGTCTTCAAGCCGACAAAACGATAAAGTTTCTACTGATTTCGATGGTGTAATGAGCAACACATATACTCGACAGAATGGATTTCGTGATTTATATGCCAAGGTTGCCACTTTGGCCCCAACAACTCGTCATCATGTTAGGATAATAATAAAATTTTGTTTCTTCAAAATTATACCATGCCTCTTTGGTTTTCTACTGCTCCATTACTCATAGATGAACCCCACATGAACGCAATGATTAGGGATACAGCAACATATGAAAGATCCTGACTGCACTGAGAATCTCACTCAAAACATGTGATAGGCAAAAAAACTTTTTCTCAAATTGGCTCGTTCATGACAAGCAGAAATTGTTCCACCAAGTAAAAGTGATAAAGGGAGTGGGAGAAGGAAATTAGCAAGACTGTTCGACTGCGGCTTGGTGGTAGGTTCCACCACCTCTCCCTATACCGAGTCACACTGTGGTCATCCATAATTTCATTAGTTCAACTGTAGGCGTACGTCTGAAGCTTCCACTACCATAAGATTTGAGTTTTAGTTTAAGCTGTAACTGGAAATAATGCTTCACATCATTATTATATACACATATGAGACAGAAACACGAGCTTTCCTAATGGCTGCATTTAAAAAGAAAAAAAAAAAAAAGAAAAAACTGGAACTCATTCTTTTCCCCAAGACTTCAACTGAATCTGAAACCTTAGATTTAGACCAACTGCTGGAACCACACTTCAAGATCAGGCGATCTGAAATTTTGGAATCTACGGTTACAGCATACTAGAAGCACAAGTTGCACATAGAGGGCTCCCATTTTTCAGATCCTTCTAAACTGAGACGTCAACTAATGTTCTTCCCTTGGTACAGAGTGCTAAGCAATTATGGGAAGAGTTCGTGCACTATGATAATGATAGACCTTAATAGCTGCATCACGCAAATGCTTCAGTCATTACGCTACCGAATGAAAGGATATCCAAAGAGTTAGAAAAAGAAAGACATTAGCTTTATTCAAACATAACCTCGATGACACGGTCAACAGCCCTTCTCCCTTTCACATGAGAATCTCATCGAATTTACGCAAGAAACCCTGCAGAGAATGACAAGGGACAAAGAAAGAAGATAATTGCTCGCACGTGTAGTCCTGTGATAGTAGTATGGATCAGGGGGGTTCTCTAAATGAGCCAGCAAACAAGCCGAGGGAAAAGCGGGAGACACTGAGGTCATCCACACTCGGCAATTTCTCCAGCGGGACAACCTATTATCTCAGGGGAGAGCCGGCGACATCCGCAAGAATAATGGTCGAAACCCATTCCAATCCACTCCATCCCCCTTTTTTCTTCCCAGTGTCACGACCAGTCCCAAGAAATATGCAGGCAAGAAAGAAAAGAAAGTGTGACAGGGAAGGCATTGAAAGGAAAAACCAGTTTGGTGCGAACCCTTCCTTTCTCACAGCCACACCTTATTGTTTTTTGCTCGACGGGAGCCGCAACGGACTTCAATTAGTGGACCAGTGGGGTTCCAGAGTGCAATCCACTCTTGACCTTGTTGCTGGTAAACAGCAAAATGAACCAATAGTATATATAAGCCATGGCCGTGACCACAACGAGGACCGAACATTGACCGGTTTTCTTGACATGACCTCCGGATATAGAAAGAGAAGTCATCATGTGTCGTATCTTTACTCTCAAACATTGCACTAATGGATATGCTCGGGATAAATTTGAAATCCAAGATGAAAATACATCGCACTATCGTTCAGATGAGGGATTTCGAGTTGATCCGAGAGGGGATTGCAAAACTGCCCTTCCCTGCTAGGCAAAGAGCATGCGCGTTAGAACTTCCAAAACTTCTCGAAACACTTACAACAATGCAACCATTGCTTGTTCAGAGGCTAAATTCACGAAACTTCCCGAAAAAGACTGACATTCTCTCACTGAACACCATCATTTCAAATAGGGCAAACATCCACCTGTATCCAGATGCAGCTTTCCTTCATTTATTCATTCATTCATTCAACCCTTTACTCGGAGAGAGAACAAAAAGATTGCATTCTCGTTTTCAGAGCCTGACAGAGGAAATCGCTGACGCAATCGAGTATTATCTAACGGCGTTATTTCCCATTCTCTTTCCCAGCCATGAGCATACGGAACGACACCGTGTGTTGGATATTTCAACACAGTCAAGGCCTACTTCCCCTTCCTTGCGAACTCAAACGTCTGTTAATTAGTCGCGAGTCGGCATTTCTCCCCCATCCATCCATCCATTCATTCATTCGTTCATTCATCCATTCATTCATGTCGGCTCGTAGCGGACAAAGAAAATTAAAAAACGATCCAGGAATTAACGAGCTGACTTCTCCGTGCTAGGAATTCCATCAGGATGATACGAATTAGGACTCGAATACGACAGGGAATGTGGATTAAAAAAAAAAACCTTAACCGGAGGCCCAACCCCTTTTCCCTTAACATATTTAAGAGGCAATGACCGGGGTAGAACGGGAGAAGCACAGAGCGTGAAACGCAATAAAGGTTCTATTCCGAACACGTATCTCAGCGATGAATTATACTCCTCTCCGACCTGACAGCAGCCTAAGAGCTGGAAACGAAGAAAAAGGAAACCCAAGAGACAGAGGAAGAAGATGAAGAAGAAAGAGAAAAATCATCCGAAGAGAGCGAGAAACGGGAAAGCTGATGAGACTTGATGAAAGGGCTCAGCGTATACGCTCGTATAATGGAGTTCTCTCCTTTTCATTGTGTTCTGTCCTTCGAATTTGCAAGTATAAACTTCCCCGGGCTTGCCATCTCCTTTGGATTCCACTGAGAACTTCTTAGCGAAATAAGACATTCTCAACGAGAGATCGTGGACGCTTCGAGTCTCGAGAGAATGCGACTGTACAAAATTAGATAATCTGGTTTGTGTCCCTTCCCCTGCGTCTATCTCCAATTTCAAGTTTAAAAAGAAAAAAAAAAGTGCTGGCCAATAGGAAGAAGACTCGATAACCGGTGACGAAACCCAGCTCTCGATTCCCAGGCCTCACTCTAAAACATTACTATTTTTCCCACCTCTACAACCTACGCGTAAATAAAAACCAACCACGTATCTCTTCCGCCGTAAACTACAAGAATGAGTTCATGACAGAATTCTGCACGGGCGGGAGACGAAGTCAGTACCTTCCTTCTCCACTGTCTTTGAAATGCAATGGAGCAGAGAGGCATCAACGTAAGCAGATGTACCAGACAGTCCTCGAATCCAGTTCATGAAAAGCCCGGCTCGGCAAGTCATAAATGCAAGCCATTAGTCGTAAAATCGTCTCATCGAGTACGTGAAACTGCCGGGATAAAACCAGAGCACGGAGATATTCTCCAGCACTGTAAAGGCGGCTATCCGTTTATAGGCCTCCTCATTATCTAGACACCACCACGGGAAGTGATAACTCATATGGAAACTGCCATATTTCATGCATTTCCTCATCTCATCTCTTTGTGGAGGAGCAGGAAGCCTTCATTTCCTTCCCCCCTGGGGGCTGATCAAACTCATCTCCATAATGGCACCAATTGTCCCCTTCAATACAAACAGATGCGTCATGCTCAGAGCAGTGCCCCTTCAAAGGATTAAGACTGCTAGAGCAGCCGGTAATTCCCGGCTGGAAATAACGCTATAGAATCAGAAATGGCCTATCTACCCGGAACTGTTCGACGGCTGATGGAAAGAAGGACTTATGGTCCGATGGCCATTTAGGATATAGGCTTCTTGCTGCCTGTTGGAATTCTATCAAATCTACAGTTAGGGCACGCCGACTGTAACTCCATCAAAGCCAAACCCCCACGATCCCGCGGGAGCGCCTTTAGGAATCGCTTCTCATAAAGTGTGGCTTACGATGCTATAAAGAGAAAATGGGAGCAGAGGGGAAGACTCGGACTCACTTGTGACCTTCGAAGGCTGCGACTAGAAGCGGAGTCATCCCGTCCTTGTCCTGATGATCGACGTGAGCACCTCGTTGGAGGAGCGTCCGAACGACACTTCGGTAACCCTCATTTGCAGGTACACAAAGGGCGGCGACAGAGAGAGCAGTCCGTCCATCTACGTCTTCATGGTCCACGTTAGCCCCTCGTTCCAAGAGGAAGTCAACTATTTCTGAGTGTCCCATGTAGGCAGCAGCAATGAGAGCAGTCCGACCTTCTTGATCCGCCCGGTCCACCTCTGCCCCTGCGTCCACCAAGCGACGAACGACGTCTTCGTGTCCACCCCAGGCAGCAGCCCGCAGAGCGGTCCGATGATCCGCATCCGCATAGTCCACGCTCGCACCCCAGCGTAGCAAGGCGTCCACGACGGGGAAGTGTCCTGCCCAGGCCGCGGACCGCAATGCGGTCCATCCGTCTTCATCGGCGTGGTCTGGGTTCGCACCCGCTCCAAGCAATGACTCCACGACGGCTCCGTGTCCTTGCTTGGCGGCCAGACTCAACGGTGTCTGACCCTCCTTGTCCAAGGGGTCGATGTCCACGCTTTTGCTGATGAGGACGTTGACTAGATGGATGTTCCCGTCACTGGATGCTTGGTGAAGCATGGTGCGTTGATTTGCGTCGGGTAGGTTCAGATCCACTCCGCTAGAAAGGAGTTCATTCAACGGATCTTCCTCTGCGCTTCGTTTCATTTCGTCCAGTTCACTTCGACTCATTTCCGAGTCATCCACTTCAGGCATCCGGGCTCCAGCGTCTTGTAACAGGCGGACGACTTTGGGGTCCTTGGGAATGAGGTCGACGAGAGAGTCTTCCACGGGAACACCGCCACACAAGAGCCACAAGACGGAGTGATAACTCTGCCATGACATGGGTGCAGGGGGATTCATCCGGGTCAAATGCCAAGCCAGTTCTTGAACTTCGTCGTCGACGAGATCTGTTGCCCTCTCGCTGTGCCACAGAGTCAACATGGCATGACCGTCGCTCACGTCACACAGGTATTTCTGGGTGCAGTGCTTTACATCTTGCAGCCATTCGGCGAAACTGGGATGGAAGAGGATCACAGCATCGTCATCATTCACCAGGACCCGCTTGAGGAGATTCAGTCGCCGTTGAAAGTCCTCCATATTCATATGGACGTTGTGCGTTCGGACACATTCGTAAATTTCTTCCTCCGTCAAGGGGTGAAGGGAGGCCAAGATCACGTTAATGAGAGGCTGGACCTTGGAGAACTGTTTCCGGGTGAAGAGTCGCTGGCAGAGCCACAGGTACAGGCCGTTTAGGGTCCCGGGGATCTCCTTGATCTCCCGGAGATTGATCAAGTTCTCCCCCACACCATCCAACACTTTCTCCAGGTACAAGAAGCATCCATTGCTTTTGATGTGAAGCTGATTGAGCATCTCGGCCGTTTCTCGCGTGAGATGTTGCCGGACGGCTTCGTCCTGATCCAAGCGCGACAGGATGTATTGTTGAACATCCCGTACGACCTGAGACTTCCTGAGGTCGTCCAAGGAGATCTTACGAAACCCGGTGAAAAGGCGAGTCACGGCTTTGCTCTGTCGCCGTGCGGAACACACTAGGAGCAGCCAGTTTGGGAACAAATGATGGTGTTTGCCCAGAAGCTCGGCGATGCTTCGACTGGGGCCGGTGTGATCCGCAATGGGACCGTGACTGTTGGGGATCCCACGGTCCACCGAGTCCACAAGGATGAAATAGCACTTTTGCGGAGTGGGTTCCAGCTCCAAGAGAGGAAAGAGAACGGCTTTCTTGAAGGCTTCATCTGGCTCTCTATCGCACTGAGCCACCTGTAATGCGGCCTGAATCTCGGGCTCCTTGAGGCGTTCCGCGTAGCCCGGAATGGCATCACTGCGGGCCAGCTGATGAACCAAGCTCAATATGAACCCCGTCACAGAGAGAGTCCGCGATTCGAAGGGATTGAGGAAATGGGCGGCAAGGAGTCGTTTCCGGAGACTTTTCTGTCGTGCGTGGTTGGAGGTGGGCCAGACGACCTCGGAAAAGAGGCCCGTCTTCCCGCAACCAGGTCCACCCGTGATCAACACTCCACACGTCTTGGAAGACGGCCGGCTGTCCAAGCTGTGCACCAACTTGGACAGGGCCCATTCCCGACAGTAGAAGCGTTTTCCCCTCAACAGACAGTCCATGGCACCTTCGTCAGGTCAATTGAAGCTCTTCCATTGCTTCCATAGCGGAAGCAAGTGATGAACCCAGCAAAGTTCCTCCTCTCCTCCCTTTCGCCCTCTTCTATTGATCTCCAGGAGCCAATAAGGCGAGGGCCTGCTGGAAAAGACATAGAGAGAAGGTTCTAAAGATTAATGCTGGCAAGGAATCAGAACTTGGCTTTTTATTACTCGAACAGCACCCCTTCATTCGCTTCGGCACGGATGCATTTAATGATACATGAAATAGGGGCGACACTTTTTCCTTTTATTCAAAAATCCATTTAATTTTTTTCCCCCTTTAGAAGTCTGGAGGATTAATCTATAAGTAACTCCGGAAAATGCCAGGAAAAAAATATGTGATCAATCAGATCTTAGGGTAGGGCTGAGAGACATGGTTAGGTGTACACTACGACACTATCATTCTATCTTGATCCAGTCTGACTGACCAGGATATTGCAAAACATCATCTTATGAGGTCATGCTATAACTGGAAGTGAAGCCAGTGTGGGTCTCTCAGATAAACTCCAGGGCTCCTATCTGGTTCGTGTAACGAGTTCCCCAATCGTGTCACTTCAAAGAGACAGATGGCGCACTTCATAAACATGAAATACGCACGAGTCACTTCGGCTCCAAGATTTACACGAAACAGGCTCACGTCGTGCATTTTGGTAAGTGCGTAGAAGGACTACCACGTGAACAATCCCCTTCCGCGTTCCATCAGACACACATCATGATTGACGGTCGTATATCCAGGCTGATGAAGCGAAGGCTCAAGCTCAAGGCTTCCTCCGCAAAACGTGCACAGCATGCCAGAGGTGGATTCGCCGGGGTGCAGACATTCATTCACAGAGACAGCCGATGGGTGTGCTGGCCAGTTCAGCAGCAATAAAAATATGGATTGGGGGAATCGCAGACGACAGGGAAGGCAAACAGTGTTTCATGATATGCCCATGCCTCTTCTCTCCCCCTAGACAGGACCTAGATAACGATCAGGCATTTCCTCTACCTCCTCATACACATAACCAGTCATAATACTCTCCCTCTCTCTCTCCATCGACCGACAGAGAGCTCTCTTCTTATTCCCATGCACGCTCGTTATGCATCCGTAGAGGACTTTGGGCAGAGAGAAAGAGAGACAGAGGGAGAAGGCTCTCATGAGCTGGGAATGAGAGAAGCAGCACCTGGGATTCATTTGAAAGGGATCCAAGAGCTTCCTTCATCTTATGACGTCTTCATTCCCTCATTCAGTCTTGACTCTTCCCCGTCCCTCGCCCACAACTCCACTCTAAGTTCGTGGGCGATTGATACTTCACCCTCACCATCACACGCAAATTAGGACTAGACAAAGTGTTCCGAGGAGAAAGGAGAGAACGAATCAGGTTATTGGCAGACTAGCCAAATGCAGTTTTTTCTCGCGTCACCTCCTTCTCCCTCTAGTCAAACGGTGCCAGAGAGCACACATTCATGGGAATTGCAAACAGATTCGCGTTTTCTCCCCCTAACCTCGGCATGATTCGAGAAACAGGTCGGCCACGTAAAACGGTGTCGTCGCAATACCGGTTTGAAAGCCATAATATAATCGAGTGTGTGCTTTCGAAAGAATTGCGTGAAGCGGAGGAAACCATGTAAACCGCAGTGGTGACGTAACGACAGACTGACTTTGATAGCCCATGGGAGAGAAAAAAAAAAAAAAGGAAGGGGGGTGGGGGGGGAAGCAAGAAAGAATGAGATGAGGAGGGAAAACGGGGTGTGGAAGCAGGGGCATAGGGGCAATTAACGGATCATCCCCATCCAGAGCGTGAGAGAAAGAATGAGAGGAAGATGTTCACTTTGCCTGGTGATGAGAGACTAGATTCACCTTTTCCCGCCGAGAATGAAAGTCTTCCTCTTTTACTTGGGTTGGCTTCTCTCCAGGCCTGCCTCTCTTCTCTGTTCGAAATCCTTTTTCACTTTTTTTTTTTTCTAGGCCTCCATGCATACACGAGGACAAACGACCAGATACAAACCGGAATGACTTATGAACGCCGCTAATGAGGGACTTATGAATCGCCTTATCCCAGCTCCACGCGGAAACTCATTAAAGTCCCATTTTCTCAGAAGATTATGAAGAGAAAGAGGTGTTATCGATTACACTGTAGCCTCCCAACACGTACACCATCTCCGATGTGACGTCAGGGTTAAAAATTTTGTCACGGCGCATAAATCCTCTAGCATTCTTCCTCGTGACGCGTTAGGGCAGAGAAGTGGCCAGGTGAAACACGGTACGTGCAATGCAAGCAACGTGATAATAATAAAATGGAGGTCGAGCAAGAATACAATGGGGCTATGGAAGGGGAAGGCAGGATTTCCGCGCCATGTATCATCCCGATTCGCTCCTGTTCAGAAAAAAAAATCCTCAGAACACGCGAATTTTCCTTTGCCCTATTTAATTGGTCGACCTTGAACGTTCGGAAGTTTGATCCCTGAGATTGCCAACTTGGAACCAACCCAACTTCATTCATTCACGCACTCTGACAGGGTGAGGGTGAGATGAGGAAGGGAACATCTATTCCCATCTCATTTTCTCTCATCTTTTCTTTTCTCATTCATTCTTTCCTTCAACCTCCACTCACGTCGTCATTGAGAAAAAATTCCCCAGGGCCTTGATATTACACTTCCGTGTCTTAAGTTCTCGCTTCAGGACAACGTGTGGATCATTATCATGGCGAGCGCGTCGGGAAAAATGAAAGGAGAGGAGGACAGGGTCAGGAAAAAAAAAAGGAAGGGAACAAAGCGGGACTAAGGACAGGGTCCTGTGATTACGGCAGGTGTGACTCACACCATTTACCCTGGCGAAACGGGGCGAAACCAAAAAAGAAAAAAGAACTTAGTGTTGTGACAGCACCCACTGGGATCAATTACCCCAATACGAGGGGGAAATGGCTCTCTGGCTATTCATGGGTCGAAGGAAAACATGGAACTATCTGAAAAGCAGACCCAGGTGGCACAACAAGAGAGACTGGGGAACCACTTCAACAAGAGACCGAAGAAAATACCAAGGCAGATAAAAGAGGTGTCACATGACGCGAAGAAATCCATGACGGGACAATGCAGAGTAATTTGCGCAAGGGATGGGAAATAAATCCAGCAAAGCTACTTACGTGACCTTCCGGGTGATCTGATCCCTACTGAGGTAAAAAAAAGAAAAAAAAAAAGGGAAGGATCTCGGTGAGCTTTGTAAAGTAAAATCCGGAAGCAAAGACGCATTGAGTCAGCTAAGACAAAAGACAAAATCCATTAGGCCGAAGCCAGAATAGGTTTGGAGAGGGAAAGCAGGGGGGGGGGGAGGATTGGGGGTGTTCGAAGATACTTCCCTTTTCCCCCTCCGCTTCCAACTTCTAATCCCCCAGCAACTAACCAAGCAAGGGGGCAGAAGAGGGGAGAAAGACAGAGGGAGGGGAGCGCTCCCACGACATGGGGAGGGACATGGAAGGCGGCGAACAATGGGGACACGTTTTCAATGCGTGCGAACACTGACCTCCTTCCAATCGATTCCCATTCTCCATTCCCACCGTGATACAACAGAGAAACCCTCTAACGGATTTATCTCGGGCTGTTGCATAGCATGAAAGCAAGAAAACGTAAAAGAAAATAGAAATGCGGAGAGGGCGCATGTCCTTGGGTGCGTCATTTTGCCTTCTCTCGACAGCTTACTGAGTATTGTATCTAATTCGCTTAACACAATGCCTTCGGTCTAACAAAGAACCTATTTTGGATTTTTCCCTCTGTTGTTTTTAAGGCTGTCATATCTTGTAGTCCTGGTCACGAATGCGAGTCGAGATGAAACACAATCTTGTTGAGGGGGGTTTCGGCTGTGGTTCACACGTGGCTAGGTTTTGAGGGTGCTTCCCGAAAAGCCTGGGCAGAATTAGAGTCGGAATGACTCCGAGGAATTTCTCAGTCTCAAGGGGAGAAATATTCCAGTAAGCAAAGCGCTAAGCTTTTCCACATGTCTGGCAAGCCTCATTAGAAGGCGAAAAAATATACCAGGATACCGTACATGCCGGTGTCTCTGTTCGAAGTCTCTTCCTGCTTCGCCCATCATTCCTTCGCGTATCATGGAGTGGATGTATGCAATAAATACCCCGGAAGACAAGTCTTCGGATGCTGAGCTAAGCACATTCTCCCCAGAGGATTGAGGAACTCTCCCCTTCCTCGATGAAGGCCGCCTCATTTACACTATGCTGACTAGCTGGATCTTAGCTGGATGTCATCGTGACCCTCTCGACCTCTATACAACAGGAAGGCCAGATCTGGGCCTACCTGCGACTCCGCTCAAGGTCCCGCATGGGTACAATGGAATGCCTATTACTCAAAAGCAGGGAAAGGATGGCTTGAGTCAACTCAAAGGATCAGGGGAATTTTCTGGAACCAGCCTATCACGAGCTTTCTCTCCTTCGCACTCATAGAGATCAGATAAGTCACGATCTTGAGACTTTTTTCATGGAGATAAGGGAAGAAAAAAAAAATAAGAAAAGAAAAGCGGATGAAAGGATAAAGATAACAGTAATCCTAGCCAAGTCAGAGTGTCATCTCCCAGGAATATAAGGGAACCTCCGCGGTGAGAATAAAAAACGTGAATGTCAAAGGACCAGTCAACGCAACACAAACGAAGGCGTAAAAAAAAAGTAGCGCAGGTATGCAGACCAGCATGTGGCATCGAACAAAGCCACTTTTCATGAAGCCCACGTTAAGAAGATACAAAAAAAAGGGGAAGCAGGAGCACATTGCCCCCCCCTGTCGAAGAGAGAAATCAGTGAAGGCAGTCAAGCCAGGTTCCGCCCATGTCCTTGGCAGCTTGACTTCAGAGAGTCTTGGAACAAAGACAAGGAAACTCCTCTCTTTTCATTCACAATGCCGCTGATTGATTGTTTCTGTGCCCCCTTCATTACGGAATGAGGAGAATCAAGGCTGGAGGAACCCATTCAAAAAATCTACTTGAAGACGCTGAGGCAAGGTTAAGGGGGAAAAAAGCGGGTAATTACAGGGAGCAAAGCGGAAGAGTCTTTGTAACCCCTAGCGAGGTCTCATGACTCATATCTCAACTTGAACTTTGCACCCCTTGAATCTTCCTGCATCCCGCTATAAATACAAAAGGACAAACTAAATGGATCCGTGCGAACGAGTGCATGTATAGACCTCATAACCGCCGCTAGGGGTGATTGCATATATTTAGAAGGGCTCTGTGTCACGTAATCACGCAAAAAAGCAGGAAATTTTCCTTCATTTTTCAACTGTCGAGAATCGACTGTGGTCTGCTGCCTCGGTGGCCCGAGACCAGCGGGTCGTTTGACACCTGACGGTCTGAGAATGAAAAGGGCAAGCACCAGGGGTATTTCTCATCGTCGCCTTTCCACGAGAACGATCCCCTGCTACCGGGACGATACGATCGCAGTAGAAAATAATAAATCCCTTGGAGAAAACGCGAGAGGGGGGTTTAACACGCGACGGTGATGGACGATGCTAGGCGGCTCGTTGCATCCATCACCCATGGTCCCACGGGAGAAAAAAGACGACAGGGAAATGAATGACACTTCTCTCGGGCTTCGCCTGTTACTTTTTGCAGGTATGAGACCTCATTTTTTTTTTGGAGATGAATCCAAAAGATGCCTCGCATGACTGGAAACTAGAGGAACGCGGAAAGAGAAAGAGGGTCTCTCTTAGTCCAAGGCTGTTGATGGACCAGAACAGGAAATCTCCAGCGAGATGAATTTTGCTGGAAAACGAACAACTCTCTTCTTTGTTGGGGCAATAACTGTCACAACCTATTCTTCAATCTCTGCTCTCTTTCGTTATCGGAGGGGGAAATCGAGGCGGAAGCGGCACTTCTTGTTTCCTTCCTTCCTAACGCCTTTGTTCCAAGATTGAGACAGCGCCATGTGAGGTCCACAACATGTGGGGATTTATCTGCTGGTAAAAAAAAGGGAAGGACTTTTCCACACGTCCGGATATTTCAGCATGCTAGAGAAGGAAGGAGAGAAATATTTGGCAAGAGACTCGAAAAGCAAGCCAAGCTCTCCCCTGCCGAGCTATGAAGAAGCCTCAACTGCACTTGTCATTCACCCCCTCGTTGCTCCTGCATATCGACCCGATAGAGAAAGAATGTGTGCGCGTGTGGATGGCGACATCATCATAATTTATTGACAGGCTCATCCATTGTCGCCAGCATCTATCTCATAATGAAGGGGAAGGCATGCGAATGGGCAACGGTGGATGTGCGACAGAGGGGAACTGGGTGGTAGCTGAGGCCTATACGCTCATGTTGTAAGTACGGGCACGCAATGACAGGAAGTGGAGGGAGAAAGAAGGGAGGGAGCTCTAGTCTCTGCCTCGGGCAGACACATATAATAAGAGTGAAACAATTGATGCCCCTCCAGGGGGACTTTGATCAGTCTCCCTTGTGCCCTAATGGAAAGACCTGCACTCAACACAATGGATGAAGAAGCTCTTTCTTCAACATCTTTCGCTCACCAGGGAATACACTTTTTTTTTTTACTCTTGTCTTTCCATTAAACGTGCATGCTGGTCGTGCTGGCTGATACACGTGATGAGCCACAGTATAAAGGACTTGATTGGAACTGGAATCCTCTGAATGTAACATGTCGGCATTGGTTGAAGGGCAAAGCAGCCTACACTCATACACAATACCACATTGGAAGTCCGAAAACTTGGAAGGGAATATATCCTCCAAACCCAGTGACAAGGGACAAATGAACTGTAACACGTGGATACTTAAAGAAACGATGAGCCGGGGACGGTGATGACGCAGAAAAGGCTTGTGAAAGACCTCAAAGGAAACGACACATTTTACGGTACAAATGCAAATTTAGCCAAGGCCTACTTATACCATATTGGTAGATTTTTTAAGTAAGAGAATCAGAAAACAAAAGGCACGATCCTTCCGTTGTACTTTCTTCGACTTTTAGTATCTCATTAGAGGGATATGGCTGGCATATTACGAAAAGTTCCAGAATTATGTCCTTACATTAGACATGCCGATACGCATCCTGAGTCCTGCAAGCAGTTCATTGCCCTGACTCACGAGGCGGCGGTCTTTCATCAGAGAGTTGGGCTTGAAGGGATTCCCCCCCTTCCCGGCCCTGTCCACGATCGTGATTCTCAAGTGCCAGGCCTAGGCTATTTCGAACCCGAACTTCAGCAATGCGAAGAGATCAAAGAACTCACCGTTTATCAAAGGCTATGATATCCACCTATCATGCTGGAAGGTCCCTAATGTAAACACAGGAACGAGGTGTGAATCACAAAAGGCTTCCTTCCAGTCATGGTGAGAGGAGCTGGAAACTCCGCAAGCACGCAGCTCGCGGACCACAATGAAATGCACTCCCCTCGTCCCCTCTCCTACCCATGCGTCGTCTGCTACCAGATGCCAGATCCCTTTTATTTTTCTCCCAATATTAAAACTTGTTATTTCGGAAGTCATCTGGATATCAATGAGCAATACTAAGTCCTATTAAGAACTTTCATTAATAAGATGACAAGTAGGTCATGAACTGCAGAAGTGAAACCCATATCATTTCGTTGATATTGATTTCCGTTGTGGCATCCCTGTGACGTTTGAGGCATGCGCATTAGAGCGTCAGTCATCGAGCGATGGTCCTGCTTGCAGCGTGGGGAGATCTACCTCGCCAGCTGTTACTTATCCCCCGAAGGTTCACCCTCGGGTTTTTTTCCTTCTTCGGTGACGAACGAGGTAAACACGAAATACATAATTTGTCTTCCAGGCTATTGCGTTTCGACTTTCAACCATGTTGCAGCGAAAACAAGGAGCAGTTGTCAATTTGTCATGTCTGGGTGTGCACGGGAGCGACGGGAGAGGGGCTTTCAGGGAATAAGGAGCAGAAAAATAAATGTTTACTAGGTGCAGAAAAGTTGTTTTCATGCCAGGCCTACAAAATTATAATTTTTTGGTAAATAACAAATTTAAGAAACGGTTCCACCCTACAAATTCGCACGGCGGCAATATCTTACAAAGGGCTGCCGCACCTCAGCGCACGTGGTTCACTCCCCTGCACTTCCGCTGGAAATACCAAAATATTCCCATGCTTTTTTTTCATTTTCCCCGTGGGATGGGCGGCAGTTAGACAGACTTAGAAGCAGAAAAAAAATAGAAGAAAAGCATACGTTTCGAACGAACGGTAGGGCCCCACCTACTATGCATAATAGCCTCCTCCCTGCAGTCTGTATGCAAGCAACCGATTTGCATATACCGAACAGCCTATTCCCCCATGGCGAGAACAGAGCGCCTGGAGAATATTGTTCAAAAAAGTCCTGGGGAGTCGCGTGGGAGGGAGAAGGTCTTTTTTCATTAATTAACATGGGCACGGTGTTTACAAAAGGAGAGGAGAAGTGGTCCTGACAATCGCCACGCCTATATCTCCTGTCATCTTCCTCAATCAAAGCTCTCTGACATCACATTAATTGGTCCGAGAAGGAATCACTTTTTGGGTCGACGGCCTCTGACTTTCGGCTCCTGCTGTTACCCCCGCTGCTACATTCGACATGGATTCAAGACCCCCCCATTTTTGCTCTCCCCGACCCCTCAAAAAAATTTTTTTTTTCTCTCCTTCCTATCGCCTTGAATGGGTCATGATTCATCAAGCCGTCGGCTTCAGTAGCAAGGGCACGCGATTCGCCCACACTTTTTTTCCAGCTTTAGTTAATGCATGTCTCTACTTGCAGGAATGGGAGGAGAGAATAGAGCTTCATCACATTTTTTGTTCGTACTTCATTCATATGCGTCACAAGATGGATTTGCGAAAGAAAGGGTGTGCAACGCTGCACGCGAAACGGTCTCACCCTTCGGCGCTCTACCATTTGCAACTCTGCACCCATTAGCGGGCTATTGAAAGTTCCCCGAGGAAGTGCTTGAGAATTGAATCAGCGCGGTTGGCCTGTGATCGATGGTTGTGCCCTCGCAGCCAATGCAATATGCATCTCATCACGAGCAGCGGATTGCTAATCTGAAAAGTTTTAGCTCGTGGCGCGGGTTGGCCGATTAGATCCCGTCATCCCCGGGTCACCAGGTGCAAGGAAGAGATCTTTCATAGAAAAGCAATGCAGAGCAGGAGGATTGCAATCCTGCGACCTGGCCAAGAGTGGCAGCGGTTCGGTATTGAAGGAATTGGCTGACGTCATTCTATTCCGATTCCAGCGACGCCCCCTGTGTCATTCCGATTCAAGGCATTCTCAAATGAAGTCTTGTCATTCCAATTCCGTTAAAGAAAGTTGTAAGCATCTGATCAACTCCCTGGCAGTTATGGACGAGTAACTTGAGAAACAGTGTTTCCACATATGGCTTGTCGAAGGAGGAAATTTAATTGGTTTTTACTACGAAGGCCATGTCTCTAATAAATGACAAGACTCATTGCATTCCAGAAAAGTCATCTCGACCATGTACGGCCAAGAACTGGAGCTAGCTTTGGATTTGAGAAGACTTCAGGAACGATTCCAGTTCCAATTCCAATCAGCTCTTCATGCGAGATCATCTATTCCAATTTGAATCACGGAGGAGTATGGAATCGTTCCAATTCCGCAAAGTCAACAACAATGAGAGGTATCGCACACGATAAACTCCATGGCAATGATGACTGAGGCTGGGGGCAATATTGTTTAAATAAAGGATTGCATAATAAGGGTGTTATAGAAGGACACCCACGATCAACTTCTCATCAAGCCAGGGTAGGAAGAGGGAGGGGGGGGGGGGGGTTTGGGTCATTAGAAGGTCCACCCAGCAGCATGCAATTTCCCAATTCCTAATGAGCTTCTGCTCTTCTCCTTTCAGAGCTCAGAACACTTTCGTTTCCAGCGCATTTCACGGAAACTATATGATAATTGAAATGATAGAAATGGTCCTGCTCACCCTGATTTATTTGGGGGGGAAAATCCTAATCTCTGTTGTCCATCCTGGCTGTCAGAGGACACCTTCCTGTGACACCCAGTCGGACAAACCGGATGATAAATTCAAGTCAGGGCTTCTTCCAGTCCCGCCTCTGGAATAAATTACAAAACACTCCAGAGGTACACCCATGCAGTGTTGTGTAATTCGATTATTAAAAAAAAATTATGAGGGGGAGGACTTCAAGTGGCTAGAAGGCATAATGCATACGAGATATGTATATTCATGGCATTGATATTCAAGGCAACGTGTCATACTGGTTAGATGAATGAATAAGTATTAAATGCGACGAGAGGCACGTGGGAGGGCCCCCTCCCACACGGCGAAAGAATCTTCAGCACAAGATTCTTCAACGCAGCACTGTTTGAACTGCACACACGGGAGACAATGGTCTCCCGTGATTCGACATGTTTTCCCTGATGGCTTGACCAGCACGGGGGAAGTTCTGGAGGGCTGGCGTTCGAAGATAGCGTGGGCAGGGGAAAGGGAAATGGACTCTTTCATATGCAGAAAGGCGAGAGGGATGAATGAAATCAGGGGGGCGGATAGGGAGCAATGCATCTCTTTTGGATGCTAGGAATGATGCCATGTGCCGGGATGGCGAGAGAAACTTGCCTTTTATGGGATATTTGTCAAGCCACCATCCAAACCATGAGGGGATATTCCAATATCTCATCGATACTTGGCTTTTCGAAGTTCTTCGATTCGATTGGAAGCTGTGGCTCTCTGCGAACCGTGTAAACTCGGGAGCAATGGGTCCCACCTGCTGCCCTCAGGGTATTGCTTGTGTAGAGCAGGTGGGTCATTTTCTCCCCCATCTGCGGTGTAATACATCCTTCCCGCAGGTCCATAGAGAAGGTACACAAAAAATGTTCAGTGGGGAATGGTTCCAATTATAACTCTATCCCAGATGCTACCAGCCCCCGCAAGGAAGTTAATGATATGCTACGTGCACACATTCACCTTCATTTTATCCTCCTAATTACAATGGCTAAGAAACTGTCGGGGACTGCGAGAGGCGGGTATTCGACCCCTCCCTCTTTAAAGAGTGGGGGAAGATAAGGATTAGTTTGTCCTCTAATTCTACTTTTCAGTTACAAAGCATATTACCAAAATTCACAGGGACGGCAAACATTGAATAACGAAAATCGCACAGTTCAATATCAGGAATTGCCTTGACAAACCATAGTATTTAAAACATCTAGCCATCATCGGCTCTCCATTCGATTGCATTTGGCTCATTTTTTCACAACGCCTGTGGGCTTCTGAAACAAGCTTAAAATCAGAACAGACTGAGCTGTAAGCCTTGAACAAAACTGTCAGTCCGTTCTCCCAGTATAATATCCTCATTTGATGTTTACGCATGTTAAGCACGCTGAGTGTATTTAGAGTGGCAAGAGCTGAAAATGAATCAGTTGGAAAGACGGCCTGAGACCAGCACCGCCGCCAACCCCACGTAATTGTAGGATAGTGGAAGGATCTATGCCAAGTCTACCACAAGTACGTCCACCTGATGCAGGTCGGCGAATGTTTACGGCTGGTCATTTACTTACGCCACTAGGCGAAGCGGCGGCCCTGACTGGGTAAGAGTCCCATAAAAACGTCATAGAAAAAACGCGGGTATTGAAAAGATTACTCCAATAAGGAAGGCACGTACTACGTGTAAGGCTCAGCTGAAGCCGAATATCCATCCTTGTGATCTGCCATTTTTAGGCAGAATGGAGTCCACATGTAAAATTTTTTTTTTGTTGCTGAGGACATTCACGTCGGATTTAAAGGCGAGTCGGTTACTCATTAATTAGTCGTGAGTGACATATGCATTTAATATCGTTACTTTGATGTGGCAAGTCTGACAATATCGCGGCGTAATATTTTGACAACAAAACAGTCATTCAATGTAACAGCATTGTACAGTGTGCGTACCAAGTCCTGTTACCCCTAGCATTTATATATATCTATATATCTATATATTTTTTTGTTTTCATTTCAGATTAACAAGTGTAACCTTATGAATGAAAGATGGCAGGCATCAATAATTACTCCGTTGAAGAACGGATCGTAGTCAGCCCATGAGCTCACGAAAGACCACACACTGGCAAGATAATGGTGCATTATTATTACATTATTATGGTACATTATTATTTGCTACGAACATGACGGTGCCTACACTAACATACTTGATGAGTCATCATTACGCTTTAAACAACTTTATGATGGTTTAAAAATTTAAAGAAGCAAATGTTTCTTTCAGCGACGCGTATTTTCCATTTTCATTTTTCATAAGGGGTAACAGGACTTTGAATGCACCCTGTACATACCACAAGATTTTATTTCATTCCTTTCTTACTTTTGCTTGCACCAGAAGCTGTTTTAATTATGCAAAAAACCTGCCACATTCATTAAAACTGGAAATAGAAATGTCAACTTTGCAGTTCATGTTTGGGACTCGTCAGTTTTACCGGAAAGATTTTCGAGGGTAAGGGATGAAAACTGCAAGAATGCCATTCAGTTCAAAATATGTAATTATTCATAACTCTACCCAATGGCATGTGTTTTAGCTTTCCTTGTTCTGAAAAAAAGGGTTTCATACCTAGCCATAAAACAGTTAATAAATTATTGCCTCCACCTTTTTGTGTACTCATGATTGAGCAAACACTAATATAGTGAAACTTCATTCTGCAATGCTAGCAAAGGCCTTTCCTTTTACTACCATGAACTACTCTAAGCCTTCTACATGTGAAATGCTTTGAAGCCTGGAGTTCACACAGTCTATGCCTACTTGGTGTGTATTTGGTTGGATTTTTCCCTTCCACAACCTTCATCTCTTTCAAGATCTTTTCCATCTCCAAATATTATCCCACCTCCCTAAGATGCTCAGACACCATTGGGTGCTTAACATCAAAGATGTTGGGAACCATAAATACATGCACACAGGTATGTGGATTGAGGAACTATATTTCCCAAATGTTAAAATGACAATGAAGGCTAGAAATTGCAGATTCACAGAGTGCTTCGAACAAAAGTTAGAAACAAGAAAAAGAGGGGACCGTCAAACAGACATCTATTGGTAGCAAGACTCACTACAGTCCAGTTGCAAGTAGTCATCAGCACCAGAGAAAATCAGTACTCTTGAGGGTTGAAGGAGAGAGTAATGAATCTTTGAGTGGAGAAATGCAAACTAGGGATGCATGAAGAGGTGGGAGTATGATAGGGGAGGGGGGGAAATGAATCACTTCTCCCAAGTCTTGAACTCCATTCCATCAGGTGGCTTCACTTCGACCTTCTTTTGGGATATGTCATTCCAATTCGTGCTCAGCACTGTGCCCCCAGACTCATACTGTAATGGGTAACAGGCACTGTAGCAATCTTTCTAAGATGAGCCCTTAAGATGCATAACCTTTAGTGGAAGACTCACATAGGACTTATTCATTGCCTTCCTGACCTCATCAGATCCTTGAGAATAGATTTTCTGGAAGAGCTGATTGAGACCAGCCTCACCTTCCCCTTGTTCCTCATTCTCAGACTTAGCAACTTCCGCAGCTAGGGCATCCCAGTCGTGTTTATGTTTAGAAGAACTTGGATATTCTCGTTTACTATCACTGGCACCTACAATTCACAAGCAAAAGACACATCATTAGGGACAACATCAATTGCTTCACATAAAATAGCTAGGAAGGGAAACAGAAGGTTGAAGGAAAGGATACTGCATATGAGGTCAAATGGTTTGCACAGTGCAGTGTTTTTAGAATGTTTTTCCATGTCCTTTAAAAGGTTCTAAAATTGTTTCCTGAGGTCCTAGATGTAATGCAGGCAGAATGAAAACATTTCTTTATTGAAAATATAGGTGCTGCATTGCAATGATAAGAAGTAGAAGCAATGTCTATTGTAGCAACACCAGTGCTACAGGAAACAGGAACTTCTAAGCTCTGACATAGAAGTATGGAAGCCAAACATCACCAGGCTTGATTTGATCACAGTGTGAAACCCTTTAGTGGTGAAGAGAAGCATTAAAAAACAGGAGTGAGAAGCATGGCTCACAAGATTGAGAGGTCAATGAAGCAGGCTTGAGTGCAGGGGTTCCATCTCCTTCCAGGGCAGCCCAGAAGATATCATCCCTCTTCTTCAACTTGATCTCGACCTGCACAGCCAGAATGGGAAGCTTTTTCACTGTCTTTTTGAATCACATACACTGGGAAAGAATTGAAAAGAAGTCTTTGTTCAATAAATTTGACTATTTTGAAATTATGCTTGCTTTGTCAGTAGGGTGCTCTCCATAGACAACATCAACTCTATAAAAAAAAACCCAGGTACTTAACCCTTTGAGGAGTGGGTTTTTTTAACACCTAGAAGATCACCTGTAGTGAATACATGTAGAGCAGGAGGATGTCAGCCCATATATATATACAGGCATACTCGTCAAAGGGTTATAGGAGAACCATGTAAGTACCACTGGGTCTTCTTAAATGGCATATGGAAGGTCTGACAATAAAATAACGAGACTGACAACACTGTAATGCGTGCGGCAACACTGGGTTAGTGGCGATTGCTGTAACCTGTCAGTGCATGTCTTAAGTTTGTGCAGTAACAAACTTGTTATCATGATACTTGCAGTGATTGCTGAGCAGTACCACTTTACCTAAAGTACTGTTAGGGGCACTCATAAAAAAAATCAAACTTGAAGAAAAACCAACCGATTAACCAGTTAAGACGATGTTCTGTTTCTTTGATTGCAAAGGGATAGTGCATGGTGAGTTTGTTCCTGCTGGTGAAACAGTCAACCAGCAGTTTTATCTGGAAGTTTTGAAATGTCTGAGACATTGGGTTCATCGGCGAGGCCAGAATTTTCCCCAATAAGTGGATTTTGCACCACGATAACGCACTGTCACACACAGCACTTTCCGTTGAGGAGTTTTTGGCAAAAAAATCAAGTACAGTACTTGAACACCCCCCTTATTCACCGGATCTTGCTCTGTGTGACTTTTCCTTGTTCCCTAATGTGAAGAAACACATCAAGGGAACACATTTTGAAACTGGAAGAGATTCAGAAGGTTACGATGGACATTCTAAACATCTTGCAGGAGATTGATTTCCAGAAGTGCTTTGACAATTGGAAAAAATGCTGGAATTCATGTATAGCTGCAAGAGAGAACTACTTTGAAGGAGACCACCACAGTTTACAATAATATAAAATATATAGCTATTAAAAAATATAGTCTCATTATTTTATTGTCAGACCTCATACATCTTTGACTACAGACAGACGTATGAAGTAAAATCAAAACAGCAACCCAATTATGAACAAAATTGTTCAGTAATTCATGCATTGAATTTAGTATGAGGATGGGAAAGAAATGGAACTTTACAATAAGTTTTAAAATAAAACCTACAGCAGGAGTTATTAGCAAATCACTCAAAAGGACTCTAAAGAATCTTCTGAGTTTTTCATTTTCCTCACTCCTTGCTGTGAATAGCTTCTTATTGTGGTTGTGATATTACACCAGATCTATGGTATATGACTGGTTGGCAACTAAATTTCATGGTGGGCTGGACAGCAGAATGCTGAACGTTCACGAGCCAGCACCTACCAAGTGCCATTAAAATGAAATGAACTTTTTTGAATGTCTCATATTAAACATGCAGCAGAAGGTCTTTTGTCAGACCGTAATGACCGATACCCAGGTCTTCATGGGCCAGAGAGTGGGCTTCCACGGGCCAGATCTGGCCTGCAGGCTGCCAGTTGCTGACTGCTGGTATATGAGATGCCATGGATATCTTGAGGTAACATGAAGACTATTTAAAGCAGGGGACGGGAACCTATGGCTCATTGAGCCATGGCTAAAAATCATGGTTGTTCCCCATTTTTCTCATGCATGAAAGAATGCACATGTCTGTCGCTCACTTCAGGAAAAATTCTGCAGTTTTGACATTTTTTCGCTCACAAGCACCTACCTCAATATGGCCTACATATGGCTCACATGGCCTAAAAGGTTCCTGACCTCTGATTTAAAGCATTGACTCATAACAGCATTTTGCAATATAAGGAATGGCAATTTGACCTTACATTTGAGTGACACTGTCAGAACTATGGCAAATCCTTTGTGTCACTTTGTGTAAAAGGAAACAGGTGAAAACTCCCAGCCTCTAGGTAAAACAGCTGTATTCTGTTCAAACTCACTTTTGAAGGGAGGATTTTCGTAACACAGTCTGAATCAAGTATGGGATGAGCCAGATCCAACTCCAAACTGTATTCATTGCCATTGGGAAGAAGAGCTGTCACACTGAGCTACAAATACAATTAATTAGAGGCATAAAGATACTGAGATTCGGCTGATATCTGATATGCCAATATCAGGATCACAAAATGTACAATATCAATAACTGATCAGAGGAAATGAACCAGAAAAGGTTTAAAAAGTGCAGAGTGAATATATATATTATATATTCTTAGATTATATATATATTTTTTCTTTTGAAATTCCTGATAGATCTCAAAGTTCACACAGAACTCCTAGACATTGAGTCAGCTCCAATTCTGAAACCTGATTATTGGCATACCAACATCAATATTGCTGATAATGTCACACCTATTCCAGTAACATACACTTGATGCCATATCAAAACAAGAGCACAATGTAGAAAGCAGCATATTCAAGAAATACTTCACATAGAGATTCAGTCTTTTATGAGTAGTTTTGGAGAGCTCAAAAATAAAACAATACCAAAGATACTCTACTTCAATGTAAGCATGATAGCTTTGCACCAAAAATAATTGCAACTGCTTTTAGTCATTAACTCCAAGGGGATAAAGGGCACTCACAGCTTTATAACCTTCATAGTAACAAAAGAACATGCATATAAAGTAAACAGCAAATAACTAAGAACTAATTCATCAGCATATAAAGAAAAACCATTCTGAACCATGCTTAGCCATGATAAACAGCATAATTAAACAATAAATATGGCAAAATTATGCTCCAAGGGGCACCAATCACATTCTATTTTTTGCTAGCAAAGAGATCCAAGAAGGGACAAAGAACTATGCTTACGGTGGTTTCAGTTACATGAACTTTGAGGTCATCCTTGGAGATGCCTTTGAGCATCACAGTGACAATCACATGAGTTTGTGTTTGATACCAATCATGCTTGACTTTTCCAGTACTCCCTCCAGGAGTAGCAGGAAGAGGTGCATCACCAATGTCCTCTACTGATGCCATAGCATAGGCTTTCAACTCAGCTTCATTCTCCTGGATCACTGGTGATAAATCTTTCTTGCTTCGATCTAGGCGCTCTTTACACCACGTTATCCACTGTCTGATGCCAGGTGTGGATTCTGGAAAAAAAAAACAAAGCACCACAAGGTTTACTTGAAGTATATGCTGACTGAACCTGTAACCATCCAGTAAAGATTAAATGAGTCCACCCTGGTCCCAGACTAAACAAATCTATTTAGTCTCAAACAGTTAGGAAGACAAGCACCAATGTAAGTTTTCATTTCACCAGCATTTCCAGTAAATAAAAAATTGATACTGAACTAAAAAACTGAACCAGAGAAATAATGTGCTGCATACATAAGAGGGTAGATCAGAAAATAAGGTGAAAGTGTACTTTTTTGGATATAAATACTTATTGAAACATAATTACATAGGATTAAACTAAAAAGAAATGTCACTTTACCTCATAAGAACCAAATATATTAAGACACTTGTCCCAAGACACATGGAAGCTTATCAATTCCCATTGCATAGAAATCAGAGTCCTGTCCAATTAGTCAAGTGATGATGGCTATATGAAACTCAGCATCCATTCTGAAGTGTTGACCACCAAGTTCATATTTCAGTGGCCTGAAGAACTTAGTATCAGAATCACTTGGTAAGAGATCCAGACTGTACGTTGGATATGGAAGAACCTCCTATCTGTACCAGGGAATTGATCTGTTGATTGGGTAGTGAGAGGATGAAGATTTATCACACCACTGGTACACTTGTTTCTTAGGAAACACTTGATCCCTGTACACTTCAATAAGCTGGCAATGAAAGTCTGAAGGTTTGAAATTCCTTGCCCACAGGAAGCAAATTTCTCCTGGGCACACATTTTAAGTATGGCAGCAATCACGCACTGGTTGTCTGATTCATGACTGCCGCAACAGCAAGACAACTCCCTGTAGTTCACATTCATGAACTACAGCTCTATATGCAGTCTAAATATTGTGTAATAATTGCTTAATTTGAGATAAAAATGGCCAACTTCACCTTACTTTCTGATCCACCCTTGTATAAACATGGTTCAGCAAAATACTTAGCTCATATGAACACTTGGGGAAACTGACTTCACTTTTGCATTGTTGTAATCTTTAGTTATAGCACTTGCTTAGGGGCTACATTAGTATACAGCATGCGGACATACTGGAAAGAAAATAAGTGCCATTTGAACACAACACAGCATTATGATGTCCAGATAATCTTCTCACATACCTACTCAAGTCAAGGGCAGTACAACAACTGTTCATAAAGGCACTTATGAAACATGACATGACTTGCTTGTTCATCATCTACAGCTTTCTCAGAAGAAAGGGTACTTGAAAAACTTGCACTCTCCTTTTACAAAAATGCAATACAAGATATTCAGGAAATGTAAATATTAAGTTACTTTGGCATAATTCCCCTGCATGTCTATGTATAAACTATACTCCAATCAGAGAATGTACAATTTATATTATGATCATATTGGATTGTACTGTACAAAGTATTTCTCAGCTAAGAGGCTTTCAGTGATAATTTCTACTGTCTATTCATGAAGTCATAGATTTGACAGCCATCTCACAGCAAATTGTAGGTGATATGAAAATCAACTGAGACAGCAGCAGTTGCTCCCCACTCTGAGGGACCCATGGAATCTGCCCCTAGAGGCATGTCATTGAAACATAACAAAAAGTAACAGGTAGGGTGCTTCACAGACATAACACAAGCTTTTGATGAAGAAGCTGTAACATCTACCTATGTGAATATGTTATGGAAGTTGATTCAAGAGTGTGGAGTGTGATCATGGAAGCCCAACAGCTTTTGATAAACAGTGCACCATGCTTGGTTAGGATAGTGAACAAACATGGTATACCAAAAGTTGGAGTTTAATGTATACTTACATGGATGAAAACTTTCGAGTTTGAAAACTTCACCATATTGACTTAATACACTTGAGACTTTCATGTAGAAATACAAAAAAGTATCCCACGGCAATTAGGTAATCATTGGGGACAAGGCTTTTATGGTCATAAAGCAAAAAAAATATTAATGCATGGTTACATTTTGCAATAATCCTTTAAATGCTATTTATGCATTAACATGTCAACCAAAGAAAGGCCTTCACTGCTAAAAATGTGCAAACATGTTTGAATACCAGGCTCTTTATTGCTGCCATAGGCCTTGGCAGTCCAATGTGCAGTGATGGCGGGCTTTGGGCTGGAGTAGCATTGAAGCTGCCATCATCTTCTCTGGGCCCATGAAAACATGATACATTATAACAAAAAGCATGGGAAGGTGCAGCAATGCTGTCAGGTATGTCCATCCTAGTCCACATTTAAAAATATATTTTCTTGAAGGTTATATTACATTTATGGGTTTCTTCTCAACAGCATAGTCTAGGAAACTAGCATTTCATGTCCCAGCAGGCATGATTTTGGAAGCCCAAAGTGCAACAAGGAGCAGCCCCTCCCCTTTTTTGCAGGGTCTTCTTGTCTTTGTCATACATTTGCATCTGCAGGGCAATGCAAGTTACCTGCCTTTGATGATGTCACTTTTGCCATGCATGCTCAATCCAATCCTATGCTGGTGTGTTGTGGCTGGTTAAAAAGTTGAACACATCTGGTGCCCCATAGCCTCAGCAATTTGCATCCTGAACCCACCCACTAGCACACAGGCTCCTGGAAGCTTGATCCATAAGGAACATCAGTGAAATACTCTCAATTATAAGCAAAGTTAAATTATACAAACATGCATGGTTTCTGAGGGGAAATGTTGTCACCTAACCAATTTTTGAGACAAGGAGACAAAGTAAGAAAAAATGACAGCATAAAAATCTGATCCCAAATTATCACCAATAAAAAATACATAGCCTTCTTTGAAGCATCAATCCTTGGGGTTACATCATATATAACATGGAAGATCGTGAGAGAAAATAAAACTGAAAGAAAGAGAAAAACAGTGACAAATTACCATCAATCCTCAGGACAGTTTCAAATGATTTCAAGGCTTCTTTGTATTCTCCCAGATGGAAGCAAGTGATGGCCTTGCGAAGGAAGGCTTTGGGATTATCTGGACTCAAGTTGATAGCAGCCTCTGCATCTCTCTTTGATTCTAAATTGAGAGAGAACCCAGTGAAAGCAAGATGCATCATGAAACCTCAAGCTCATAACAACATGTTACAAGCACCACATAACCTCTCACTTGACACAAGCCAATCTTAGTTGGCCAATTCATAATCTTATCCTTTAACATTTTTACTGTCAAAATAAGAATTTTTGAAAAACATAAATTTACTCTTTAGGCCAGTAAAATGTTAGGAAATCTGAAAAAATGAATTAATTGAAGGCTAAACCAGAACAGAATTGGGCTGACAGTACAGGACCGAAGTGTTTTTTAAATTTATTTTAAAAGTAGTATGAGTCTCCTATAATAATAAAATAATTTGAGTACTCCTCAAAGCTTCTTCAGTGGGTAAAGCAATTTATTTTCCTATTCTATACTTGGAGTTCCACACAGCTATCCAGCTGAGTTCTACATAGCTGGAGAGCTCTCTTTGTCTTTAGTATGCAATGCATGAGGATTCCAGCATGAGTCTTGACAAGGCAATCAAGGAGAGGTAGAAAAGTTTATCCTGCCTGCTGCTTCTCAATCCTTCATTTATTTTTTGGAATGGTGTATGAAGCATTATGCAGACAAAGTGAAATGAGCACATCTCCATACAATTCATATGCATGATACCTTCAACTCATCACTGGCTGGAGGGGGTTGTAAAAAAATTAATTTAAATTAAAAAAATAGAGCATCTCTAGGCACAATTGACAAATTATGAAAACAGAGCACCACACTAAATACAGGCCCTCTCCAGGCCAGGCCTTCTGTGACAGATGAATCAGCTAACGCATGGCACATGGCTTGAGGGGCCAGGATAGGGGTTATGTTCATACAAAGTTTTTGGATTGAATTTGTATCCCCCTATAGGAATTTTTCTGCTGATTGCAAGGAGTGGTACCTTCTCAAGTGTGGTTTTTTGCATCATTTGATGAAACAGATCCACCAGATGTAGCACTTTCTCCTTTCTCCACTACCCTGGGGATGTATGAATTCAATCTGAGGACAGTGCAGAAAGTTGACTCAGGGCAGGCCAGGCCCATACCAAATGTTTTGTTCACTCAATACATTCCAGTATAGGCCATATTTTTTTGTACCACTGTTGGAATATATTTTTCATTTAGCATTTAAAAAAAATTGCACAAGTTAAGAATAGGACAAATTCAGGCTAATCAAAAACAGGACTTGACCCCTCAAGCCAATATCCAGAGTATGCACTCAGTCTCATACATTAGCCAGAAGCAGTACCCTGAGTAAAATTACCAGCTTATGGGGTTAAAAATGGGACTAAGATGATTTTGAGAGCAGAAGGCAATAATTTCAGAGATAATGATACTAATTGCTCCAAACAAAGTTATTGACAAGTGAAAGGGAACTGAAGAAACTTGTGGTTATGAGAAAGGATAGCCTGAAGTAAATTGCAATGTTTAACCAACTTTAGCTGTCATTCTCATTGGCACATGTTTCTGCAGTTCCCTATCGTTAAATAAATCCATATACTTTCAAGTTATACTTTCAAGTATAACTTGAAAGTTATCCACAAATCACACCCAAACTGGAGGTCAGGAGGTTTGGGGTAAAGGAGCCTCACCAGTAAACTTGTCTAGCTTCAGATTTGCATATGAGCGTTTGATGTAGTAGTCACAATTGGAATCATCAATGCAAAGAGCAGCTGAATAATCCTGAAATATTGAAAAATTAATCAGTGTAGGTTAGGTATGCTTAGCCTTCTCTCTAAATAAAAGTTTTTGCTAAGCCTAAAAAGGATAGTCCAGTACTAATGCCAACCATAGGTGATAAGCATTTCTTTTATAAGATGACTCCAAATAAAAAAATATTTAATATATGTAAAAGACAGTCCTAAACAGATCAGGAGTTTTTGCATCATGAGCAATGATTTATTGCCCTAATGCATAAACTCTAGTCATCAAACACCAGCTTTGAGCCTCTGACAAAACATTATCATTATGCTCCTTCTGTTCACATTCAATTGAAAGTAATCAATTGCTTGGGGGAAAAGATGAAATAAAGAAAAAGCTATGGTTTTCCTCTCCTGACAAGTCCCAGATGAGCCATGTCTTTAGATCTTTTATATATTTATGTTGAAATCCTTTTTCTGTATATTTCTATGAGAAAAAATTAGAACTTCCATATATAACTTAATACTAATTTGTTTCAAAGAGCTGTGTTTTTCATTTCTAATGCTTACATATATTTATAGGTGAATTAGTCAGGCATTGCCGTGAAATGAGTGCAACTGCAAATGAGTGCAAATAGAAGAAAACAATGAAATGTACTATTTCTTAGCGATGGACAATAAGTTCATAGGAGGGGTACAATAATTATTATCTGCAAGCAGAGTGGCTGCGAAAAGTTCTCCATAGAGGTTAATGTATCTACTGGTGTGACAATCATACTCCAAGAGCTACAGGGTGTCCAAAATGTCCCATTACCCCTAGGTTTTTTTCTTCAATGCAATGACCAATAACTGAAATGTGTGGCATCATGGTGATAGGAGTTATTTGTGTACAAATAAACAGGTTACACACTATTAGCTGTTCATACCTAATTGGGGCTTATTTCTTTGACAGTTGAATAAACCACACAAGTTATCTGCATATGCTGCAGACCTGGTTTATTCCAGAGCTTGATAGGCTGGGTATCCATCAGGAAACTTGGTTTCAACTGATGCCCTTGCAATTTTTTTTTGCCTGAAATCAATTATCAGCTTAAGACTGGGACTGATAGTCTTAGACTCAGACCTATTTGAATTTCAGTCAATTTTAAACCTATGAAAGAACTATGTTAAAGGAAATATGCAAAGGCTTTCAACACACCTCTACAAGTCTCTGGAAATCTTCATGCGAAGATGATGTTTCATCACTTGCACAGGAAATATCCCTGCAAAGAGAATACTCAAAAAATTTTATGTCAGAAAAAGTGGCCTATCTTCAAAGGCCAAAGTGGGCCTGTTAGACAATTACAATCACTTTACAAAACAGAACTATCCTCCAAATTCTCCTAGCTCTGCTGGGTGTCCCACTGCTTAAAACATTAATGACCAAATCCAAGTTCATCGATGAACTTGGATTCGTCGATCCATCGTTCCAAGTTCATCGATTCATCGATGCCCATACCCAAGTTTCCTAGGATAAGTGCACACGTTTAAATTTACCACTGTGGCATCACTTCTATTACTCTGACAGAAAAGTTATTGTGTCTGCCATTAGATAGCATTCTCTTACATTGTTTTGTGCATGTGCAAAATGACTGGTCCAGGAGAGGCAAATGGTGGGGAAAGTCATGGTCATGAATGTGCTAACATAAGGCTTTCTCTTCAATATTAATCAATCTTCCTTCAACTCACAGACCATAGCTCAAGTGTCACCAATCTTTATCATTTTGCTGTATGAAAAAACTGCAGGAAAAAAGCATTAGCATGATGGTATTAGAATACAAACCCAGGTTGCCTGGACCTAGAGTTCAAAACAATGAACCTTAACCCATCATGTCTCGCCGAGTGGAAGCATTGGCTCTATAAGAAACTCCAGATGAACAACTTCTTTTTGTTCCCTAGCATCAATCTTTGGCTGAGTTGGAGGAATATAGAAGATGGCTTCATTTTATATCCTTAAAATCATACACTATTATGTCTGACATAGCTGTTGGGCATTGCATAGCATGCTAAGCTAATGATTAGCATAGACATGCCCCATCAAGCTTTTGACCTGAGTTTGAGGTTTAAATATTTTCATCCATCTGGAAAGTACTTATCTACAGGCTATACTTGATACCAGTTGTAACAGTAATGATGATCTATCACCCACAGAATTTTTCATCAGTAGGTCTCAGCCCAACACTAATATAACATCTGGTTATTAGCATGTATGTTATAATGTCATCAGCAGTGGCACACTCTAGAGCAGGGGTCGGCAACCTTTCAGTAATTGTGGGCTGGAATAACATGGCTCAGCCCTACTGCAGGCGGGAGAGCATAAGTGATTGTGGTGCTGATCTGCCTGGAGGAGAGAGTCAGAGGTTTTGATAAGAATAAATGAAATATAAAATAAATCGCTCTTCTTGGTGTGCTTGGTAGGCCAAATGAAATCTCTTTGCGGGCCATAGGTTGCTGACCCCTGTTCTAGAGCTGTGGAGGGTGTTCGGGGCCCCCAAAGCTGGGGGATGAGGACCTCAAGAAAGAGAAGGCAAAAACATTACAGGAAAAAAAAAAAGCTAACAAATATTTACAATCAGAGGGTTTACTACTTCCACTCCCAAAAAATGCATGAAGTGGGGATTACAGGGTGTTCACAAAATGAACAAATATCAATAGGCCTACCATTGCTAAGGCTTTGTAAACTTTAAGTCTTGGGGCATTCCTTCTTCTTTTGCACACTATCCACACTATCAATTCCCCATGAACATCACAAACGAATCCCAACTATGTTACATGAAAAATAACTCCCAATGAGGGCTGAACCAATCCAGAGTTCAAAATTGTGAAAAGATGAGATGTGATGGTTGTACATACTGCAACCTACAACTGTCATTTACCCATGCATCTAGGAGGAAGCAGGGTGAATGTCCAGTATTACTTGTTGTCCATGCATAGAAGAGCCTCCAATTGCATTCTTCCTTCTACTCTGACATATGCAAACTTCTATCATCAGGTCAGGCCTGCATTGAATGAGATTTCTGCTGCCATTAATGATGGCTAATAACATAACAAGAAAAAATTACTCACTTCTCAGTTCATAGGTAATTGCTGGTATGTGGTCATATGTTGCAGTATATACATCAACACCCCCCCCCCCCCCCCACAACTGATCCATTCATGACTTTGAAATCTAAAACCTGTCCTAACAGCGTTCACACTAGGTGTGCACGGGACATGGTTGCGGGACATGGCAAGACGACATCTGGGTAAGTTAGGTGTGCCCAAGATGAAGGAATACCAATATATTAAGTCACCAGCCAAAGTTCATTCTGATTTTTGCTAGTCCTGCCTAGAAAGTGCAAGCCTCAACTAAGAAAGATCTCCTTTTATATTCGGCCAATTATCCCGAAGAAAGTTCTTAGCAAACTCTTATTAAACTTAGCAAAAAAAAGTTTGGCCCTCTCCTGAATTTTCCTTCAAGATAGACCTAGCTCGTCTAAAATCTATGTCCTACACCTCCGTTACAGCCTATTTACACAGATCTAGCTCAAATAAAAAAATAAGTGGAATATTTTCCATTTAGGATAGTTATTGGCCTAGCCTACCAATTTCCACCAGCACAATCACGAGGACACGTTGGTTCCATGGAGCTGCAGGAGGAGAACATGCCTGACCAAAGGCTGACAAGGATGTCCGATGTTCCACACTGTCAAACAATATTTGCTCCATATGTAACGGGCTCACGTTAAGGAGTTTACTCACGGGAGTGAAAGATACCTATTTATTTTACATGAACACTGCCCCACACATACTGACGTACATGTTGGCAATGTAGAGTTGTGGAGGTTTTCTTCCTATTACAAACATTGAAACCTTGCGGATGGAAATCACAGACGTGCCGTTTTCAGTGCATGAACAGAACCTCAGAACGATAGGTTGGGGGTGATCTCTGTACTGGTGAAAAAGTCAAATTTTCGGATTCATTTCGCAACATTTTCCGTTGAACTCGATGAGATCATTGCAGAAATATTGTGAAGAAGGTAATGAATCAATCTGGAATGTACCAAAGGCAACCCGAATTCGCTGTAACGGAGTAGAATTGCACTTGTCATTGAAGACCACTTGGCCGCGGACAGGCAGGAAAGGAAAAAGTCGAGATGGTTTCCAGCAAAATATATTGAAGACCATGTATCAGATCAATTTGTCGCTTTCAAATTGAGGAATCTCAATCTCTTCTTGAGTCCTTGGTCGGAAAAAATTCAGAAGCGAAAAAGCGAAAATATATTTGATCTGTCTCTCAGATAACAGAAAATTCTCTTCCTCTCGTTCAATGCAATACAGATAAAAGTAAACGTGATTTTTAAATATGAGCCCTTGTGAGTTGATCCTTTTCGAAATATTGATGATATCGCATTCCACTGGGCCTCATGCTGCGACAAATCCCACGTTATCCCAAATAGGAAAGGATTTCGAAAAGCCAATGCGTGCTCGATGTGGTTCCGACCCTACAAAGCCTTTTGTCATTGTTAGGTGAAATTTTAGAAAATCTACGGATGTTTAAGAGATGACTTGGAAGGTTTATTGGGCTTGCGTTCTAGATAAATTGGTAAGAAGGAAAAAAAAAGAGGGAAGAAAGAGGCAGAGAACGGAAAAACCCAGGAACACTCCTTCTCGTGTTCAGTGTCTCGCATTTTCCCCCACAAGGACGGAAGAAGCTGAGGGCTTCCAAATGGAAGAAGCAGACGTCGAAGGGAACAAGGTAAACTGACAGGAACTCCTCTTTCATGGCAGACTAAGATGCCCAGACTCTGGAAGCTTCTATGCGGTCTCACTAGATGTCTCTCGGGGGAATAGACGCTTCGGGTACGGTTGCAGGCTCGTTTAGGAGAAAATTTATGGGAGAGTCGACCCGTTGCTAACTCTGTAGGTCTCTTTCTCCCAGTTCTCTTCCCATGTAACGGAATATGCCGAGTGAAGAAGATTCGTGAGTGAATTGTGGCGTACACCGAACTTAAACTCATTAAAGTCTTTTTCAGTGGTTGATTTCGCTTGGACGTCTTGAAAAGTTATTATATGTCTCGTATGTGCCCCGTCTCAGAGTCGTCTTTCAAGCACAACCCAAAGAACAGAACTAAAAAAAATGCCTTTCTTCTTTTTTTCTTTGTTCTTTTCAGCGTCTCTGAGGATGCCAGCACGTGGTGAATTGAAACATCTGGGAGTCAGAGCATGAAAAATAGTTTTAAATATATTAACATAAAATGCTCACAGCTTGGAACTATTCTCATAATTGACTCGTTCACTACCAACGGAAAGTATCGTCCTCGACTAATGTGCCGAAAGTAAATTTGCAAGTCAGATGCTCCACGTAACGACACTGCGTAGAAACCAAGGGCGCGTAATTTATGCTAAGGGCCAATGCCGAGTCCCAGGCCTCAACCCTTGTTGCCTCGAAGGCCTAAAAACAATTCGCTGATGAAACATGTGCGTGATCGGCGGCGAACTCGTTGAATTAGGCCTTAGGGCCGCTGAGATGACTTGTGGAAGCGGTCATAGATATGAATAGCCTAAAAGGTATCTATAATATATTTCAGAGTGTCTGTCTGTCTGTCTGTCCTTTATGCAGTCCGACCAAACTTTGCATGACTTCCTCATTTGATCCGGGGATGGTCATAGGCTAGGAGGCGTCTTAAAAATTCCGACCCATTCCCCCCCCCCCCCCCCCCCCCCC